TTAGTGTCCTAATTTGGGTTCTTTTCAAAGGAAGCATAAGTTTTATGTTTCATCCCGGATCGCACAAAATGCTTAAATCTTTAGAATAGTTCCAAGTTTTTCACGACAACTATTATATTTTCGGTTCTACGGAAAATTATTCAAATTTCGTCGGCTCAGTTGCCGCTAGTTTAATATTTTTTGATTTTTGATTGCATTTGGTTGTGTTTCTAGACGTGTTTTATGCTAATAGAACATGATTCCAGACAACATTTTGAGTTTTTTTAGAGTGTGGTTTTTTTCATTTTTTTTAAATTTTGGAATGAAGGGCTTTATTTTCCTGTCTGCTAGCTTGCACTGCTAATTTTATGTTATATGGCAAGTGTTGCAAAGCTCCGCTTCGCCTATGTATTTAAAAGTTTTCTCAATTTTTTCGTGTTTGTCGTTTTCGTCCTAGTTTCAGTCGGTTCATTTTCCGTTTTTTTTTGAAGCGCCATTTTTTATGTGATAGCGTTTCTAGCGCAATTTTTAAAGCATGGATTTGTTCCAAATTAAACAGTTTTTACTATACCGCAAAGTTTACATATTTCTAAGTTTACTTAGTCTGATTTTGAGTTTTTTTTCATTTTTTGTTCGTTTTTAAATTTTTTGAACAGTTTCAGTATTTATTGCGTAATTTCGAGGGCAACGTATATCCGCTTGCAATCGTTTTTCACTTTTTATTTGGGTCGCAAAAACGTATATAACATGATTTTTTTAATGACAACTTTTTGCCCAACTTTTGACGCCTTTGTTGCCGCTCGGTAAAGGTTTTCCAGTTTTACGCTTGCTATTAGGAATCGTTATCAAATCGGAATCTTGACCGTTTTTGGTTAGCAACTAGTTTAACAAATTCACTTGAATCATATTATGTTTGGTTCATATGAAATCAATAGTCAGACGTTAGTTCATCGCACTTGGTCTGGAGGTAATGCAGTTGCTTTTAAAATCTTATGTCAAGGTTTCGAGTTCTGGCTGGATCTTGTTGCCACCCCACAATGTTATTGCGCCGCAATCAGTTTTCATTCTAGTCTCAAGTGTACTATACTTGATACTATATCTCAAAACTACTATGCCTGATTGGTATATTTGCCGTGTTTTTCTTGTTTTTTTTCCGCTTAGAAAGTTTATTCGGCGCTAATTATTTCGGCTCTTGTTTCGTCGTTTTAGTGTTTAGTATGTTTTGCATCGGTATAATGATAGAGAATTATCATTCAGGTTTTTGATAAATCAGGCCGGCTGGCATTGAAAAAAATCGAAAGTTCAATTTTTTTAATCGCTCAAAAATTTTTGTGTCAATTTCTTTTTGACAGTTTGTTTTTGGTTTAATTGAGCAATTTTTAAAAATATTTTTCGAGTATCCATTAAGTCAGCAACACGTTATTAAAGCCAAAGGATCTAAAAACAAAAATACCAAAAAAATGGTTGTCATAAAAAAACTGAGTGTCCACTAAGCCAGCAACACGTGATTAGACGTCAATTGATCCGAAAACAAAAATACTAAAGAAATGTCATAAAAAATCAATATTTTCTAAATACGAAAAACTCAATCTCAGAAAAACAGACTAGCAAAACAATCACTAGCATAAAGCAGGCTTTTAGTTTTGTCTGAGCGTCCACTAAGTCAGCAACTCAGAATTAAACGCCAAGATTTGTGTTTCTCGTCTATTTTTTCAGCCGCGTTATTTTAGCTTAAAAATACTGAAAGCTTGCTTAATGCTAGTGGTTGTGTTTCTCGTCAGTTTTTCTGAGATTGAGTGTTTCGTATTTCCAAAAAAAAATTGTTCATTTTTTTAAACAACTATTTCATTTGGTATTTTTGCTTTCGGATCAATTGGCGTCTAACCACGTGTTGTGGTTGGTGGACGCTCCAAAAAATATATAAAACTTGCTCAATGCTAGTCGTTGTGTTTCTCGTCTGTTTTTCTGAGATTGAGTTTTTCGTATTTCCAAAAACGGGGATTTTTTCATGATAACTATTTCTTTTGGTTTTTTTGTTTTTAGTTCAATTGGCTTCTAATCACGACTTAATGGATGATCGAAAAAAAACTAGAAACTTGCTCAATATTGGTTGTTGTGTTTCTTGTTTGTTATTCTGAGATTAATTTTTTTTGTATTTCCAAAAAAGTTGTTTTTCATTACATAAATTGTTTTTGGTATTTCCAAAAAAGGTGTTGATTTTTTTTTGTATATCAAAAAAGGTGTTGATTTCGTTATGACAATCATTTGGGCTTTTTGTTTCCGGATTAATTGCCGTCTAACCACCTGTGCTGGCCTAATGGTTGCTCAGAAAATACTTCAAGTTTGCTCAATTGTGGTTGTTGTGCTTGTGTTTCTCGTCTGTTTTTCTGAAATTGAGGTTTTCGTTTTTCCAAAAAAAAGTGTTAACTTCTTAACGACAATCTTTTCTTTTGGTACGTTTGTTTTCGGATGAATTGGCGTCTAACCAGGGTTTTTAACCTCTAAACGTTTGTAAAAATTTTAAAGGTAGCTTAATTCTGTTGGTTGTGCTTTTGTGTCTGTATGTTTTTCTGAGATTGAAGGTTTCTCAGATTTTTTTTGCATTTCCAAAAACATGTTGAAGTTTTTTATGACAACCATTTTTTTTTGGTATTTTTGTTTTTTCGGATCAGTTGTCTAAAAACGTGTTGCTGGCTTAGTGGATGCTCAGACAATACCAAAAGGTTGCTTAATGCTAGTTCTCTTTCTCGTCAGTTTTTCTGAGCTTGAATTTTTCGTATTTCCAAAATTATGATGAATTTTTATGACAACCATTTCTTTTGGCATTTTAGTTTTCGGATCGATCGGCGTCTAACCACGTTCTGCTGGTTATGTGGACACTCAGAAAATACTTAGAGCTTGCTGAATTGTGGTTGTTGTATTTCTCGTCTGTTTTTGTGTGGTTGGATTGTTCGTATTTCCATTAGTTATTTCCATCTCACAGACCATTAAGTAGCTTGCATTGATACGCTTTCGTTATATAGCAAGTGATACGCAGCTCCGCTTCGCCTCTGTGTTTTAAAAAATATGTTTTTAAATTGCTGGTCGTGGAACTTTCTGTGCTACTTTAATAGGTACTGGCTATCCTTGTTATTATTTGCGTGATTGGTTTTTATTGTAAAATTTTTGCACTTCCTAGAAACGTTTGTCTTATTTTTAATTTTAAAGGAACGAATCTATTTTTCACTTATTTAGGTCATTTTTTTCAAATATAATTTTTCCCGGTCTTGTTTGCAAAATGGAAGCCCCATTAGGCTCTCCAGTAAAAAAGCGTGTGGCGCGTAAAGATGTGATTGAATTTTACTTTCAGAAACAGTATTTTAGATTCAAGATTTTCCAGCGAATAAAAGTTTTTGCATCGACTAACTGGGTTACTTACAACATTAACATTAAAAATATAAAATCGTGAAAAAGTAATAAAATGTTTTTTTTTAAACTTTTTCATACTTAATGGGTTCTGCTCATGTGATATTGACTTTGTTACCATGTTTTACGTCGTTTAAATATCATTTCGTGAGGAATGAGGCGTAAGGCGTAAAGATTTTCGAATTTCACAGTTTTTTTAGTTGAAGTTTACTGTGACATCTTTTTGTTTTCGGCTTAACTGGCGTCTACCCAAGTATTGTCGACTTAGTTGCCCCTCCGATTTTGAATACTTAGTTAACGGGATTGATTGTGTTATTCGACATGTGTTTCTCAAATTGAACATCATTCAAGACAAAAGTATGAAATAGTTTTTAATTTTTTAAGGATAAATTATGCGACTTGTGGCTGCCGTCTCATTTTCTGTCTACTAGCTGACAATGCTATTTTACATGCTCAGCTTCGCCTGTGTAGTTTTTATGTTTTTCGCTGGACTTCTCGGTAAGAATACATGTAATGTTCAATTGTTTGGTTGCCAAGTGCGGTTTATATACAGTATTCATTGATTCCATGGATCGACACCAGTTTAATCCTTTAAAGCGGCTTGCGAGGAGCTCTTTTGCCTGTGCGGTTATTCTTGTGTCGTACATTTTGGGATTTAGTTTTGAGTCAAGATATTAAAAATAATTGAAATGTTTTCAGGATTCGAAGTTTGATGCCAGTCTTTACAAAGAGATCATTGAGCTGAGAATCCAAAATGAGGAAATGAAACGTCATTTGACTCGGACACGAACTACTAGTCAGGTTTCGTCCTGCAACAAATGCGATGCGCAGCTCATCTGTCTCAAATGCAGTGGGCTACTGACTCAGTGCCTAGCTGTTCCTAGTTATTCACCGACGATAGAGGCGGACGAATCGTCCCAAACATCGGTTATAGGAATGAAAACTTTGCCTATAGCACCTTCAACGAACATTAGTCCGACAACGCTGATATCAACAAGTAGTCTAGGAGCCATTCTGTCTCCGCCATCTAGCCGACCGTTCACTTCGCCGACTATGGTTCACGTGGACGAATCAACAATATCGTTCAGTAACGGAATCGGAAACATCATAGATCTGAACTGCTCGTTGCCGGAATGCACACTAAGTGATGCGTCGAACGAAGTAGAAATGATCAACCGAAACTCAATAGGAAACGAATCGACCAATAGCTAAAAATGTTCAATGAACGTTCTGGAAAAAGATAGAATGTTCTTGTTCAAAGTTTTCTTTCTTTCTCTGTCGTGTATTTTAAATCGGTGCTTCGCCTGTGTACAAATTTTTATTGTTCTATCATGTCTATTTTCCTGTAAATTTGTCTTTGGTTTTTAATAACATTTCAAATGTAATTATGTTTGAATGACTCAATTCAATTCTTAAATCAACATAATGTCATTTTTTTTATTTCAAGAGTTAATCAATCGAACCTGAGCGGCCGAAGGATTGGTTTCTCAACAGATCATTGTAATTAGCCCAAATGAAGATTTGCCCAAATTTACAGACCTCGTTTGTTGAAACGAGCTCTGAAAACATTCAATAGCATAGTTTCAATTAAATTTGAATTCGAGTTCTTTTTTTTCAGAAAGAATGACTGAGTAGTATTTAAGATGCCAAACATCGAAGTGACTCCATTGGGAGCCGGTCAAGACGTGGGCAAGAGTTGTATTTTAGTCAGCATCAATGGAAAGAACATCATGTTGGACTGTGGAATGCATATGGGCTTTGACGATGAGCGACGGTTGACGATCGATTACAATAGTAGACCCCATCAATTGTTTTTCACGAACATTTTTCCAGGGAAATCAAAAGCCTGGTCTATAAGGCGTTCAATTTAGATCAAAAGTGGTGATTATTCTGTCAAAGCTATGCTTGCTCTAATTTTTTAAATCATTATAACAGAGAAAAACTGAAAAAATGGCTGAGGAAATTCTTAGAAACATACATATTGTTACTTATTCTGGGGATTTATTGTTGTAACCGATCGTGCACAGGTTCCCTGATTTCAAATACATCACGGATTCCAACCTGAACGGTTATCTGGATTGCGTCCTGATTTCTCATTTTCATCTGGACCATTGTGGCTCGTTGCCGTTTATGTCGGAAGTTGTGGGCTTCGACGGACCCATTTACATGACTCATCCGACCAAAGCCATTTGCCCAATTTTATTGGAAGATTACAGAAAAGTGACCATGGACAAACAAGATAAAAGAATAAAACCGATTGAACCCGATAAGTTTTTCACATCTCAGAATATCAAAGATTGTATTAAGAAAGTAAAAGTTATCGGATTGCATCAAACAATTAAGGTAGACGATGAATTGGAAATCAAAGCGTATTATGCTGGCCATGTTTTGGGAGCGTGTATGTTTTTAATAACAGTCGGCTCAGATAGTGTTTTGTATACTGGAGATTACAATATGACAGCTGATAGACATTTGGGTGCTGCCTGGGTCGACAAATGTCGTCCGACTCTTTTGATAACTGAATCAACCTACGCCACGACAATTCGGGATTCCAAGCGCGCCCGTGAGCAAGATTTCTTGAAGAAAATTCACGAGGTTGTCGACAGAAATGGGAAAATTTTGATCCCAGTCTTTGCTCTGGGACGAGCACAGGAATTGTGTATTTTACTTGAAAGCTATTGGGATCGTATGAACATCAAAGCGCCAATTTATTTTTCACTTGGTCTCGTCGAAAAGGCGAATCACTACTATAAGCTTTTTATTCCGTGGACGAGTCAGAAAATTAAGAGTACTTTTGTGGAACGGAATCTGTTTGAGTTCAAGTATATCAAACCATTTGACAGGTCTTACATCGAGAATCCAGGGCCGATGGTAGTTTTTGCATCACCTGGAATGTTACATGCCGGACAGTCGCTCAATATTTTCAAAAACTGGGCACATGATTCCAATAACATGTTGATAATGCCGGGTTATTGTGTTGCTGGAACAATCGGTCATCAAGTTTTAAACAATGCGAAGCAGGTTATCATCGATGGAAAGAAAATAAATGTCAACATCAAAGTCGAGTACATGTCGTTTAGTGCGCATGCAGACGCTAAGGGAATTATGCAACTAATTTCAAATACTGAACCCAAAAACGTATTATTGGTGCATGGCGAAAATGACAAAATGAGCTTTCTTAAACGTCAAATCGAAAAAGAGTTTAAAATTAACTGTTATAAACCTGCCAACGGTGAAACGGAAACAATTGAAACTTTTCCTGATTTGAGTGTCAATTTGAGTTGCAATACATACAGGCAACAATGCTTGGAGTACACCAAGTTCGGGGCTAAAAAGCCGAAGATTTTCAGAGGCGCTGTTTCAGTTCGAGAGGATGGTTCTCTGGAGCTCCAAGACGCACAGAGTTTTGCTGAAGAAAATGGACTGAAGCAACATAAAATCAGATTTACTTCATCTGTAGCTCTAAACGAAGAATTTGAATCTATTACTAATTTGGAGTCTCAAGTTTACGATGCTCTACAGAATCAGTTAGCCGAGTTTGATTCATCTGTTATTTTTTCGAAGTCGTCAGCTGATCGGTCAATTTCATTAAACGGAAACTTGGTCGTAAAAATTTCATCTGTGAAAGAACTCATTGTCTCTTGGCCGTTTGAAATGGATGATTTGGGCCAGGAAGTTGTGAAAATTTTAAACACAATTGACGAGGATGGAATTGTTTAATGTTATTTTTCTGTTCAGTAATTATTCTCCAAAAAGTATACGAAATTGAACTTCATTTATTATTGAAGCTCAATATCTTACAGGCTTCTTAGCACTTTATTTTAGGCAACGCGATTGTCTTTCAACCGTAAAGTGGGCGATTTGACTCCCGGTCCGGGAAAAATTGGGGAAACGTTATTTTTTTTTCCGGGAAAAGTTGAGTTGTCTGACCTCCTTTGTCTGCTTATTTTTTGTTGGCGTAATTTTCAGAGATTTTTTTTGCTTTCAGTTCAAACGAATACTTAAATGAGAGTCGGACAGTCGATATCCTATTTTGTTGACTGTGAATTTTTTTTTCGAGAAAAAATAGTTTCGGCTGGTGTTTTATCTGTTAGTCAACTCATTTGTGTTGTTCTAAGGACTAAAATTGATTACCATTTTTAAGATAATTCAGGACATAGTAAAAGTTTGAAGTTCAAAAACCTAATCACTCGAGTTTTGTGGGAATAGTTTTTTATGGATTTTTTTTTTGTGTTAATGGGCGTCTACCCAAGTATTGTCGCCTAGTGACCGCTTGATAAATGATACTAAAAGATTATTTATTTCGTTTTTTTTTTCAAATATAAATTTTTCGACCTAGTTGTTCCATCTCATTTTCTGTTCGCTAGTTTGCAGTGTTACGCTTGTGTTCTAAGGCAAGTGATGCGGCGATCCGCTTCGCCTCTGTGTTTAATTATGCGAAATATCCTCCAAAGTTAGTTTTGTTGTTTAGGCGCTCGTGTTTGTGTTATCGCTAAAGAAAAAAGGCTGAATCGCTTCTCACTAATCTAGACATCACTGTGCTTCCGCTAGATACTTTCGCTAATTGCTAGCATTGACGCTAATAACATCTATTATTCGTGGAAAAGTCATTAACTGGACCTCCTGAAAGAAAATTTGAATTTGGGAATTGAGATCTGACTACTTTCCGATAGTCGCATTCGATTGAACTGTGTAATGCTAAAATTTTTTATTTTTAACATTAACCAATTCTTGCCAAAGTGGACAATAAGATGCGATCTTCTTCAACTTCTAAATTCATAGAGTCGAATTTCTTCAATCATTTCCGTCCAATATTTTTCAATTTGTCATTTTTTTTGCAAGCTCGTTTATCTTCATCTTGATTGCTAATTAACAATAATCACTTCAGACAAATCTTATCTGTGGCTATCGCTTTAAAGCCCTGTTTTTCACCCTTTACTTTTCTGAATAAAACACTAGATGGTAATAAGGCATTGCTAGAGAATGGAGTAATTGTAATTTTGTGTCAAGAAAATGTGCTTTAAAACACTTATTAGCTCCATCGTAATGTCTATTTTCTCTAACACTACTCTTATAAGAAACATTAACAGGCATGCTTTTGAGTTATAAAATTGTAAATAGTCCCTTCGTCGTACTGGACGACTAAAAAAGTTTTAGTTTGAAATGTCAAAAAGGGGCGATTTGAGTGGGATCGATTTGCCTCCAGGATGGAAAAGAGTGGAGCGAAAGAAGAAGGGAAAGAGTTCGGGAAACAAGACAGAAGTACTGTACATATCTCCTGCCAATGTGGAAGTCAAGTCGATGGCTAAACTGCAGAAAGTGTTGCCTGAAGTAGATTTCTCCTATTTTGATTTCCGAACGGGCAAGTCAATGAAATCGGAAGCGAGAAAGTTGAAGGAGAAACACCTAGAAATTATCAAGGTACGGTATCTCACGCATCTTGTTTGCTTCTTTTTTTCAAGAGTAGCTCTTTAAGTCAGGTGTTAATAAATCGTGTACGACTTATTAAAATTGTTTGATTTGACGACTAATGCTATTTCGAATTAGTTTATTAGTGTGGGCAGTGAATTAATTTCTGGAACTGTAGAGCTTAGCTATTCGAACGCAGGTTTCCCTGATAAAAAGTACTGTGATCTTCAATTGGAATGGGCATTTTTGAATAAAAAAATGGCGTGCGATTGATTGAAATGTGAATTGAGAGGATTCCTCTTTTTTTTTAGCTGTCGTTCCGTTACATAATAAACACAGTGGTCGCGTAAAATAATGCTGTGTAAAATAAAGGTGCAATATAAATGCTAATAAGTGGCTGCTTTGTTTTAGGAAGGAACTTCATTCCCAAGACGCAGTATTTCCAGCAGCAGTATTCTGGGCAAAGTGGGCCAGTCTGTGACGATGATAAACAGTCACGAGTCCTCGGAAGTGAGAGTCTCAGCCGGTCAAAAGACATACAGACGGAAACCCAGACAGATATTCTGGAACAGACGACTGACTAGAAACAGGACGATTGAAATGAGCAAAGGAGATTCAAAAAACAGTCAAAGTAGCAGTTTATGCGATAATAATAACTCAACAGCTAGCTTAGAGTCCAAACTAAGTAAGTTAAATTTCAAGTTATCATTTTTCGTGGCCCGCATTAATTGTATTCAGCAGATGCGATGGGTATCTGACCAACTCTGTGGCTCCAAATTAGCGTCCCCTCCCCGCATACTGATAATAACCAAAAATAGGGCAACCAATCTCCTCTCTATTATGAAACCCCTCTCTAACTCATTATTGGATATGAAAACTTGAAAATTCTATTTGTCGAACAATGGGTAAAGGCAAGAGTGAAAAATGGTGGTGCCTAACGTTTGAAGAAGAAACGAAAACTGATGATGATCAACTTATATACAATGGTCACCAGAATAATGATTACGCCTGTGATTAGGAAAAGTCGTAAAATTTGTTCACGCTCAAATTTGATTTTTGCTGTTTGAATTTTGATATATTTTTCTAAGTTCAAGTCTTTTCCTTCGTTAAAAGGCAAACAAATTTCACTATCTAACAGCAAATGTGTAAACGTCACGAAAAAGGTGAGAGAATTCTAATTTTGTAGAAGTATATTTCAGATTTCCCAGCGAAATAAAAAACGATCTATTGATCCAGTTTTCTCGATTTGAAAAAATTTTATCAAAAAAGTGTGAATCATGAATTTCTTGAAAATCAAAGAGCTGTAAGGTCGTTTATTTTTTCTTCGAAGTTGGAAAGCAAAAAACTGTCAGTTTTTTTTATATGTTTCCTCGAGTTCATTGACTCTTTTCCAACTGTATTATATGTATAGTTGCCTCTCAGCTCGTTAAATTCATTTGTGCTACGAGAGGCACCATTTTTTTTACTCAACGTTGTGATTCTGCTCAAGCATTAGTCGCCTTTGTTACCTCTTTTTTGCCGCTTTGTTTGGCATGCTTTTCGAAAGAAAATTAATTCAAGACTAAGAAATGAAAATTTTTGGCAGATCAAAATTTTCGGACATTTTTCGATTATTTGTTCTGCAGTTTTTTTTCTCAATATTTGTCGGTTAGTTTTTCATGCTTTGGTTTGTATCGCAAGTGGCGCAAAGCTAATTTTTTAAATCTTCATATATGATATGAAGAGTTGTGTCTGTCTGTTTGAAGAGTATGAACTGCCAGATCCTATCAAGCCACTTCTGGAGACCCCTGCCGAAGTAGTCCTCTCCAGCACAGTAGGCTGTCTGCACCTCAACTCACAACAGGAGCTCCACATAGTCGGACAGCAACCCAATCACTTTAAAGTAAGGGACTGAAACCAGGCTAATTGTTACACTAATAGTAATTACTGAACGGCTAATCTGACTTTAATTTTTGATCGAAAACTGAAGTTTAATTTTCGAAAGTCAGTTGATATCAGTTTCGGTAGATAATTGCTGAAATATGTTGGACTGGTTATAAGTCCAACATTTGTTGTTTTTTAAGAGTAATGAACGTAGTGAGTACTCTTATATATAGATCTTGAGTACTCTTATATAGGTCTTGCTGATTTTTTTGTTTTTTTTCAGTAAAAACTTAATTTTGTTCACGCTCATTTTTGATTTTTCGCGGTTTGATTTTTCTAATTTCGAAAGTGGAATTTAGTTTTTAGATTTCCAGCGGAATAAAAACTTTACCTATTGATACAGTTTTCTCTATTTGGGTTCATGTTTTCAGAAAAGCGCCAATCATAAATCATTCTAGAAATTCAAAGAGTTTAAAGGGCATCTATTGTTTTCTTTGAAATTCAAAAGTTGAGATTTTTTTCAAGAAAGTCAGTGTTTTTTATGTTAACTTGCGTTTACTCTTTTCCAATCTTCGATTGGCTTTGTTCTTTTCAGACAATTACTCATATAGTACCAAAACTTCTATATCAACTGCTACTAATACTCATATAGTACCAAATTAACTGTCACTAATACTCATATAAAGCCAAAATTATTTTCGAGGTTTTAATATTCTGTTTCTCTCAGGCAATACAGAACAACCCGGCAGTGTGGGTGAACTACAGCCAGCCGATGTTCGAGAAATTCCTGGTGACGGAGGAGCACATCAGGAGACAGGAGGAGAAGGTGGTCCAGCTCCGCACCAAACTGCTGCAGCTGCAGGAGTAGAGACAGGAGTCGAAACAACTCAAATAAAATTCCACGTCTTCTTTAAATTTAGTCTAGTACCAGTCTGCCAGTTGGCCTTATTATTCAAGAAAGATGCATAGAGATGATGACTGTTGGAAACTGATTTTGAAATGAAGTCGTAAAACATTACATTTAATTTTAGTTCTTCACGACGCCATGTAAATGAATTTTCCCGCCATGAAAGCATTGCTCTTTTAATGCTCAACTGGAAATTTTAGGAAAACTATTATAATCTTGCGACAGTAAAATAAAGACATTTTGCCAATAGCATGGGTTGGAATTATCAGGGGCCTTAGAACATTTTGCAACTTTTAAGGCAGTGTATTTATTTGAAGGCGGTGAAATTTTTTTTTCTCCTATTAAGTTGGGTGATGCTTATAAAATGCAAAACCTTTTGATTCAAATCTTTGTAATTAAACGTTGAACTGAGCAGTTTTCCAGAGTCTTTAATGATTTTTCTAGTGTACTTATTTGTGTTTCAATGATTAGATCTTTAATTTTAAATAATTTTAAATTGAAGTTATCAAGTAAAAGAACCAAGTGGCTTTCATTTACATAGGTCTTGATAATTTTTATTACTTTTGTTAAATGAAGGCAAACGCAACTATCGAACATCTAAAATGAAAAGGCCACTAACTTCTAGTTTCAAAAATGGACTTTCTTCTGAAAATAACGTAATCATCGTGTTTTCTCTCAATGGGATAACTGTCCAAAAAATTCTAATCATAACAGTTATGAAGTTCGAATAGCTTCAACGTGATCTTTTCTTTTGGAAAGTTTTCAATCAATTTTCTTCATTTCGTTTTTCTTTCACACTTTCCTAACTATTTGTATGCTATGTTCCAGTGAATTGTTTATGTTTCGGTTGCTGGGCTCTTTTTGGCCTCTACTGCCTGATTTTCATCTATTTTTTTGTCGACCGTCTAGACATGTTTGTTATGTGTCGCAAGGATTGTCAAGTCCCGTTTCTTCTTTTCCGATAGTGAATGATTTTAGTGAAAATTAAAGAGCCTTAACGTGATATATTTTCTTTGAATATTTATTAAACTTGCGAGAGCAAATGTCTTGTGATCGGGAAATCGGGAACTAGACTTTTTCCGTAAACAATTTTTCTTACAAATCTTACTTGCTTGATTATTGAGCCTTAGCAACTTTCACGCTCCTTTCTACTTAGCCTAGAGATAAAATGGTCACCTTTGCATTCTAATGTTTCGTTTTGAGCCCCGGTCAGACATTGTTTTTTTAGCATGTTTGAATTGAATTTTTTAGCGGTAAAAATTGAATTGCCAGATTTTCGATTGTCTGCTTAAGTTTTTTTTCAGCTTAGTTGCCGCAGCACTGTTTTTTCTTCTGCTGTAGACAATTTTTAATAAAATTGCAAGTGTTTTTCGTTGTAGTTTCATGGTTCCTAAATATTTTTCTACATTTTTTTTCGGCTCAACTGATATCAGCTTAAAGATTGTCGGCTGTTTCCGCTTCGTAAGTATTGCTCCATCGCTTGTTTGATATTCAAATGTTTTGCTTTGTAGGTTTGTCTAGAATGAACTTTTATCGAGACATACGAAAATTTTTAAAGACCCTGTTTTTCAACATTTTTCATTTTTTTTACTTGTTTTTCTTGCGTTTGTTGTATCGCAAGTGATGCGAAGCTCCGCTTCGGCTCTGTGTTAAATTAAGAAGTTATCTTTTTTTTTCGAAAAAGTCAATTATTTTCTCTTCGGTTTTCCTGATTTTATTGACGCTTTTGCAACTGTTTGTTGGCGTTGTTTTTTTAAAATGATTTTTAGGAAGTTTCGGTTTTATGGTATTTTGGTTTTTTTATAAGAGGTAATGGTTTCAAGGGGAATTAGATTCAGGGATTCGACCTACTTTACAGCCAAAGGGTCCCTCTTTGGTGCTATTTGAGACATCGATTATTGGTTGGCCAACTCGCAAGCTTTTCTGACTGTGCCTTAGACGCCAATGTACCAAAGGTACACATTAGAGGGGTTCAAACACACGATTTTTTCGGCTTTCCCAAAATTGCTCCAAGACGTTATTTTTTGCTTGTTTTTTATTTTTTTTTCACCAAGTTGAATCTGGCGCAAAAAAACTAGTGGTAAAACTCCATCCAGCAATTGGTGAAAAAAATGATGACTTTAAACGTGACTTTAAAAAGTGATGGACTTGTGAACTCGTTCTTTGTTGTGAAAAGAGAAAAAATTATGTTGACGAAACGGTATGAGGTGTTTGCTGAGTCAAATACACCAAAGAGCGGATAATTCAGCAATGACTCTTCATTTCTACGATGAGCTTTTTCAATTTCAATTTGTTGTAAATAGTTATCTAATGTGCTTTAAAAATCTGCGTGTTTATCGATTTTTGTTTGTTCGCTTTTTATTACACGAGCATAGCTTGTGTTATAGTATGAACTTTTTTTGTTCAACCTAAGTCGCAAATATTGTTGCGATGCATTTGTTGCGACAAAATGTGTTCATTTTGAAAGTGTTCATTTTGATCCAGCTATTCGCGATTGTGTATGCCAAGTGAAACTTCGCCTCTGTGTATATTTTTACCATGATAAATCTGGTCGAAACAATCTGTGCTATTTTCGCAGTGACCGGGGAATCTTGCTTTTTTACGGCGTGATTGTGTAATAATATATTAGAGCTCCTTTTGCTGATTTTTTGCGTGTGTTTGCTTGCGAAGTGTAGCCTCGACTCTGTCTGAAATTCATGTTTTCAGTTCTTTTTGTTGCAAAAAGAAACGATAATTGTCATCTTTAGAGTAAACTTGAAATAAAAAGATATACAGCGATAATTTATTGTTTTTTTTTTTTTGAAAAAATGAATTATATGTGTCATAGTACTGGAATATCTGGCTTGAATGCCGAAGGCAGGTAACAAAAAATTGATTTCAAAAAGGTTTTCATGTGTTTAATGCCCAGTCTAGATATCAAATGGCAAAAGTGTAATTTTTCAGAAGTGAGAATGGCCGAAGCAGGAGCTGGTAACTGGTGCTTGATCGAATCTGATCCAGGAGTCTTCTCCGAACTCATTCGGGGCTTCGGGGTCACCGGAGTACAAGTAGAAGAGATTTACTCTTTAGATGAAGATTCTTTTGCACCGCTGAAGCCAGTTTTGGGACTTATTTTCCTGTTCAAAATTGATGCCAACTCAGATACCAAAAGCGAAGGCACTTTAGTGCAAGATAACAGGTGTGTAGTTGCTATATCCAAATGTGTTGCTTAGCTCTTTCGGGTTTCTAAGCGAATAAAGAAAGGGTTTCTTAAGCGATTGTTTGTTAAGTGAAGTAAGTTTTGACTGCGAAAGATGCGGGCCAAAATAAAAAGTTATCATTGAACTTATAATGAACGACGTGCTCTATGAGAATTGCTTTGATAAACTAAATGTAACTTAACATTGGATTTTTTAAGCAATCTAATACAGGTGATTTTGTCTGGTAATTTCGTATATAGGCAACAGCAATTTTACGGTCCTCTATTCTATTAGTGTAGTATATATTGATGTCTTGATAACTAACTACTTTGTCTGTTTCTAGACTAGACGAAATGTTCTTCGCCAAACAAGTAATCCAGAATGCGTGTGCGACACAGGCCATCATCAACCTACTCATGAATGCAAAACAGGAGTCACTTGACTTAGGCGACAACTTAAAAACATTCAAAGGTATGCATCATGTCATGTAATTTGGCTTTAATGGTATCTTAATGTAAGACCACGCCTCCATTTTAAGCAGGCTTCTTAGAGTGTCCCTAGTAATTCCCGAAATCAGTTTCAAGTAAATATTTTTTAAAATTACGAAAGTGTATCAGTGTTTTACCCATTTATATCATTTTATCATTTATATTATTTACCCAGATTTTACCAAGTCGTTCGACCCGCAGACAGCGGGGCTTGCGATGAGTAACCAGGAGCAGCTGCGAGAGGTACACAACAGCTTCGCCAGACAGCAGGTGTTCGAACTGGAGGACAACTCAGGCGCTAAAGATGAGGACTTGTTTCACTTTGTGGGCTACTTGCCTGTTAACGGCAGGTACATGTGATAAAAGCAGCCGTAAAAATTGAAATTTGATTAATCCGAAATCTCGAAAAATAAAATTGTTAACCGACCTAGAATATATAAATCATTTTTTTCAGGCTCTACGAGTTGGACGGTTTGAATGAAGGACCTTTAGACCACGGTGCTATTGGAGAGGGCGCAGACTGGTTGTCGAAGGCCAGAGAGGTGTTGCAGAAACGCATTGAGAAATACTCTTCCTCGGAGATCAGGTTCAACCTCATGGCAATCATCAAAGGTAACTATTTTGAAAAGTATGAGGAAAATTGTTATCTATTTTGGTAAGATTCAATACTTAAATGAAAAATGATTTCAGTTATTTTTTGTGAGCAAAAAAACCAATGACAGTTATTTTATTCCGAGCATTGAAAAAGGGGAGGAACTTCAAATTCGGGTGTGTTTTAATTTTTTTCTTTTTCCACTCCCATTGTCTAGAAATTTATCCCAGTGTCGAGAAAAACCGGTTTGAAATTTTGATTTTTCGTCTAACTTCGAGTTAGTAACGCGATCGAGTAACGATTGTTAACAGAAGTATAGCTTGTGTTAAAGTGTGAACTATCTTTTTTTTCCAACCTATGTCACAAATTTTGTTGCGATGCCATTGTTGCGATAAAATGTGTTCATTTTGAAAGTGAACGTTTTGATCCAGCTATTAAATACAGCCGATGCTAATGAGGTTAACACAGACTATTATTTTACAAATAGCACTTTAGCTTCAAGGTATCATGGATCTGTAGCGTAGAGGTAGGGAAAGAGACCAGCAACAAAATAAGAGGGTTCGAACCTGGGCAGGGTCGGATGTTTTAAATGAATTTTTTCGTTTTTTAGTTAAAATGCATCCACTCTATAAATTGAAGCATGCTAATTGGTAAATTCTTGTTTGATTAAAACAGGCATTATGAAATTATTTGGGATTGGGTTTTTTAATATGTTTTGTGACGCTTTGGAAAAATTTTTCACTTTTTTCGAAAATTTAGTTTTTCTCAAAAACTACTCACCGATTTCCAAAAAAGTTGCAACAATGGAAAATTCGCTCACTCCTTTTTGTGCCTGCATAATCCCCTAGTCTCTTTTAGCCTTACCTCACTTTCTACAGCCTGCGAAAAAGTGTGTGGGGGAATTTTTGACCCTAATCTTTTGGGTTTTTTTACATTTTCTCAAAAACTACCCTCCCAAATCTGAATTTTGGGTTCAACGGATAGAACAGGTTCTGGGATGCTCCCCTGCTCAAGCGGTTTTTCTAAAAAAAAAGTTATAGCACTCAGAAAAGTCAAATTTTTGATTTTTGACCGTTTTTTGAAACTTTTTGACTTCTCAAAAACTAACACTCCCAAATCTGAGATTTCAATCGAAAAGACGGGTTGTGAGAAGCTCTCTTGGACAGCGGTAACCCGCAAATTTTTTACACAAAAATAATGACCCTGGGAAAAGTCGAATTTTCGTTTTTTTTACCTTTTTTTTTAAAAACTTTTTGACTTCTCTCGAAAACTACCCACCCAAATCTAATGAGCAACGTTTTAAGCATCTTTCAACCTAACAAGCTCTTGTAATCACTTCAATTTTTAAGAAAACTGAAGTTATTGATGAAAAGATTTTGAAGTAATTGTATGGAGATTTACTTTTCTTTGCTATAGGTCTATTTTTGAAATTACTCTTGTCCTTTTGAAATTACACAAAAATTTTAAAAAAAAATATCAAACAGGTATTTCCAGCTTCAGCTGGCCTCTAGTTTCTTTTTTTTGCAAATTGACTGGTACTGCTAATGTGTCATAATGGGCTAGAATCACTTAGCAATTATGTAGACTCATAATTGGCGTGCGTCACTTAAGAAATTTTGTAGACTCAAAGTTTTACTCATTCAGTTTTTCCCAATAGCGTTATCGGTCATCTTTTTGCTTGTGTACGCGAAGTGCAACTTCGCCTCTGTGTATATGGAACATTACTGTTTTTTAAAGAATTTTGAGATAAGAAACTTGATTTTACTTTAAAGAAAACCAGTTTTGGATGTTTCATTTAGCCCTTGTTTGACAAATAAGGTTTTCTAAAAAAATTTATAGTGCAAAAGTTTTTATGTCATTTTTCTTGTTTTCCATTCATTTTATGAAAATAGTTGTTGTCAATCATGCCCATTTCACGAATTTTCTACGCGATTGCATAGTTCTAGAATCACACCAGCCATTAAAAACGACACGAATTTGAAGAAAATTTAAACAAAAACTTTTTCTGTTTTTTTTTAGTCTGAAGATTTTGTGCTACTTGCACACCAACCGGTTATCCTTGTTTAGTTTCGGGTTTTTCGACCGGTGTGTGTTGATTGTTTTTGAAGTCGTATTTTGTGAAAGATACTCCTTGAGGTTGACGAGAGAAGAAACGGATTTTTTTTCCTAAGGAGTTAACGAGGAACCTAATTGCCCTTTATACAGCATCCTACCAGACTTCATATTTAATTAGAAAAATTGAGACAAAGGTAGATATCGTTATATACATATCATATCATACGTATATTACATTTTAATCAAACATATATGTCTATTGAACATGTTATTACGCTTGAGATTAGCAAGAGTTATCAAATCGGAATGTAGACATTTTTTTTTCTTGTGTACAACTAGTTTAACAAAACCAGTTGAATAACTTATGATGCTGCTATTACTTATGCTGCTTTGCTGACATGCTCAATTTCATGAAAACTCAAAATCGACTACTGGCTATTGGGTGGGTACTTGTTACTACACAATCAGTTTTTTTTGGCTCAACTGGTGTCTGCTCGAAGATTGTCGGCCTTGTTTCCGCTTCAAAAGTTTTGCTCAGTTGCTGAAATGAATTTCAATTTTCTTGCTTGGCATATTTGTCTAGAATTCCAGTTTGATAAATGAAAGGGTTTGGGATTGGGTTTTTTTGAGATGCTTTGGAAATTTTTTTTTTTTTTTCTACTGATTTTCAAGAGGATATCCATAGAAAGACCGCCTAGTCTCCCCTGGTCTCTTTTTGCCTCACCACTCTGTCTACTGCCGTCTAAAAAGTCTGTGGGGGAATATTTGACCGATATTTCTGATTTTTTTTTCGTTTTCTTAAAAACCTACCTAACCAAATCTGAGATTTTCTAAAAGTTTTTCTAACCTTTTTCAACTTAAATTCAAGTTCTGATTATTTTGACCGTTTTTTGATGTTAAAAGTTTTTTCTGAAACAACTCCCAAACCTGATTCTATTGGTTCAATGCAGTTAAAGGGTAATGGGAAGCTCCCCTGTATTAGCGGCTACTCAAAATTTTGTACGCAAACAGAAATCGTCCTCTGAAAATTCAAATTTTTGCCAAAGAACGGGTTGTGGGAATTCAATTGCATACGCGACCAAGCCCAAATTTTTGGACAGAAAAAAAACATGGCCCTCGGAAAGTCAAAATTTTTATTTTGTTGGCCGTTTTTTGAAACTTTTTGGTTTTTCTCCAGAACTACCCTAGCAAACTTGGGTTTTTGGGTTTAAGCGAAGTTACAGATTGGGAGATTCTCTTCTGCATAAAAGGCTACGCTCAATTTTTTTATTAAACAAAAGCTATGATTCTCGGAAGTGTCAACTTATGATTTGGAATCTTCTCGTCTTTACCGGCCACGACCTGCTTTTAGCAAAAAACTGCGGAATTCGGAAAGTCGAGCTTTTGAACTTTGACTATTTTTTTTTGGAGTTTTTGAATTTTACTTAAAAACTACCCTTTCAAATCTGAGATGAAAATTTCAATCGAAAGTAGCGGTTGCGGTATTTTTTTTTCTGCAGAAGCGGCTACTCCTTTATTTTTTCCCCAAAATCTCCGAAAGCTTAACTCTTCTCTCTTATTTTAGTAGAGAAACAACTGGCAAAGTCCATTTTTTGAAAATGCGCATTTCGTCTCGCATCAGTATAACAACTTCAAAAAATATCAAACACATTACTCCACATTTGCTTGGCCCTAGGTGTACTTCATCGAGACATGTGAAAATTTTGGTTTAATTAGTTTTTTTTCAACATTTTTCTCTTTTTTTCTTATGCTTTTTTATGATTGTGTCGTATCGCAAGAGATGCCAAGCTCCGCTTCGCCTCTGTGACAAAAATTAGTCATATCAACTTCTGTGTTCTTAGTGTGAAATTGATAAAATTTATTTTAAGATCGGCGACTGAAATACGAGCAGGAAATCGAAGAGCTGAAAACAAAAACTTCAGGTAAGAGTGCAAAACTGTAATGATTTAAAAGCCAAATTAAATTAGCTACAAGTATCGAGTTATTGGAGTTATTGATTTTAATCATTCCGAGCGCGAACTGAAGGCACTGAGGCTTTGGGAATGTTTTGCGCAAAATCAGGGACCTCTAATTAACTTCAGATAGGGTCTACTGATTCTAGTATCTCACATCAGTCGTGATCCGATCGATATTTGAAGTTTTTGAAAAAGCTTTATCGCCGGATTTGAGTTTATTGCTTTTGAAATGAAGTCATTTCATATTAAGTCAGTTTAAGATAGTGAAAATTACTTGATAATTATTCTGATTTAAAAAGATAATAGTTTTCGAAATTTTCCATTTAGTTTCCTCTGCGCGCACAAGAAAACTGCTAAAATTGGAAAAATGATTTAGGTTTTCCATTTTTTTTTGTCTTTTTTCAAGAACAAGGGTGGTCGTATTTTGGCTACTTGCTCTGCTACCAGCTATGCGTATTGATTTTTTAAAAGATCGAAGAGTAATACGAATCACCTAATTTAAGCGTTTTTATTTTTAAAGCTCAATCAAGTGAAGAGAACTTGATCGAAATGGCGAGGCTTGAGTCACTTCTGGAAGCGGAAAATATGAAATGGAAGCAGTATAAAGTCGACAACATAAGAAGACGTCACAACTACATTCCACTAATAGTGAATGTGCTGCAAGTATTAGCTGAACAGGGAAAGTTGACTGAGTTTTACGAGACGGCCGCAAAAAGAACTAAAGAACTGAAAAAATCAGAAACGCAATCGAAATAACGGAAAACAAAGAATTTTAAGTGGAAGAAGTATGTAGAGAAATGAATAAGTGATGGTGAATTAATTCATGAAGCTGATAATGCAATGGATATATTATTCTGAAAATTTCATTTGTTTTCCTTGTTTGAAACATAATTTAGTAAATATACGAGCACATTTTTAAAACTTTCCAACAGTCAAAAGAGTTTTTTGGATTCAAGTTTCATTTGTTTTTTACCCTTGCGATAAGCAAGGGTATTGCAATCGGGTACTAGGCTTTTCCCCCGTAATTAACTTTGTTCACGAGACTCATCTGATCGAGACTTCGGGACTCACCTCTAGTGATACCTTGTTTCATAATTAATTCAAATTTCTTATCGCTCTTGGCCCTTTTAGCCTGGAGGTAGCAAGTATGCTTGGGATGCAAAGATCCGTGGTTCAAATCTTACTGGGACCGGTTTTTTTTCTAATGGGAAACATTTTGTTTCAAATAAATTTGTCGGACAGTTATTCGTTTGTCGACTTGGTTGCTATATCTTCGAATTGTTTTTTTTTTTTGCAGTGGGCCTGTTTTGAATGGTGCTTTTATTTCTAGATTTACTTGTAAATTTACTTACTTTGACTATGTATTTCATTTTTTGTTTTGTTTCACTTAAAAACTTTATTTGGCTTAAATTATTTCGGCTTTTTTATCGGCTTTGGGAAATTTTGGATCGGAAACTCAATGTTTACATTCCCCTCCGCACTGTTAAAATTGGTTGCCTTTTTACCACTTGGTTTGTTAAAATATCATTTTTTCTTCTTTTTTGGCTTAATAGGTTTATGCTTGCTTTATATCGGCTTAGTAGCCTCTTTTCGCGTCGTTCGATTCGCCAAAAAAAGTTTTCGTGTTTCCAAGTGTGCGTTATGAGGGTAAATGGAACGTACAAGTTTTAATTAAATTTGAGTTCATAAAAATTTCGGCTTGAAGAGTTCCTGCTAAGATATTTTCGGCTTTTTCACCGCTTGGTTATTTTTGTTGCAATGATGATTTTGCATTATATTGTTTGGGCATGTTTTTTTTCTCAACTACCATCATTCATTTTGATAGATTTAGTTGTATCGCAAGTGGTGCGAAGCTCAGCTTCGTCTCTGTGTATAATAATCTTTTCTAACTTGAACCACGATAACAAATTTTATGTCAACCGGAAGCAAAAGCCATTTTGTACTCTTTCAACACTTTCTAAAAGTTTTCTCCCTCTACAGATTAATTTATTTGCTGGGAGAGCATAATTCATTTTTAATTCTTTTTTTCTAGCAAATGTCATCCATGTGGCAGCTAATGAAATACTACATAATCGACATCTTGGGTTTTTGTTGTATTCCTTAATTTAGCAACAATTTTCCAGTCATCGGTTCGCTTCATTGAAAAATGTTGTTTTTTTCAGATTTGTGTGGCTTTGTAATATATGTAAATGTAAATATTGTACATAAAATGGCCAATAGACCAGACAGCGGTAAAATATCAGAAGCGGCCACTGAAGTTGACGTTGAAACAGTCGATGACGTCAATGGTATGACACGTGAACAATTGGAGGCCGAACTCATTCGAGTGAAAACAGAGTACAACGAGATGCACTCTTTGTTATCACGTTTGTTCAACGATGCCGACTCGGAAGCGTTTGAGATCTTGCGAGTCAAATTCAACTCGGATCAAGATGCGGGAAATATGAAACACGATTCTTCAAAATTAAAAGGTCTTCTTTCAAAGCAATCAAAAGACGCTAATGTTCCGAGCCGTGCTGTTACTTTCAGCCCGGTCAAAACTCAAATTTCAGATCGTTCAGGCGATAATTTGAAGTTACACCGGGAAGCGACATTCGTCAATTTAGATACGAGTAACTCATATTCTCGCAACATGGAAACAGAAAACGCACTGTCTAATCGCCTCTGTCAATTGGACTCTTACCTGGGCATGCGTGGCATAACAGAGGGTTGGTTTTTAAAAAGATAATTTTCGGAACAGTTGTTTTTCGGGAAAAAAACGCATGCCTTCAAGTGACAATGAGGGAGCAAAAAGTTATGCGATTAGTAGTCTTTAAAGCGAATTGTAATCCTTTTTGCACTTGCGACTTGTAATCGGGAATTAGACTTTTTCCCGTAAACAATTTCGATCAAAAATCTGTAAGAAAGTGACCTTGCGATATAATGGAATCTCAGTTTTTTCCAATTCTTTACTATTTGGTCTTGTGGTAAATTACATGCATTGGTAGCCTACGGTGAGGGGCTAGAGTCTCGGCTGGACCGGTTTTTTTATTATCGCGAATTAGAATTGTTTCTAGGAATTGAATTATCGTTGGACTGTGTATTTTGGTCGGCTCAATTTCAAAGCATGGATTTTGCGGAGAGTTGCCACATATTGAAATCGTTTTTTGTTGCTGAACGCATTTTGCATTAGTTCCTTTTAGTTTTTTTTATTTACTCCTGCAAATAATAGTTTTACCTTGATTTCGTATTTACTTTTTTTTGCACTTAAAAACTGTTTTGGCACTTGTTTTATTGGTCTGTTGACCTAGTTTTGCATCAATTTTTTATGCTCCCCTCTGGATAGCACTAAATGCTAAAAGTCTCAGATTAAAATTTATAGTTCTAAGTTTTTCATTCCGACAGTTATGTTTTCTCGGTTCTACGGGTTTTTAAACAATTTTTATCGGTTCAGTTGACTCAATGATTGATTTTGAATTTTCGTTAAGCGTCGTCGATTTTTTTTGGATGTGCTTTACGGAAATAGAACACCATTCCAGACTTATTTTTTTTAGTTGTTCTTTCGGAATTTTTCATTTTTGGATTGTTTGGCTTTCCTGTCTGTCAGCCTTTTTTTTTAAATTTCAGCAGTCTTTAGTGCATTGTTTTTACCCATGCTTGACAATGTCCAGAAGTTCGATTCCAGTTGGGGCCTGTTTTTTTTGCAAACAAAAGTTTCGGCAATTTCTGACTATTTTATCGTTTGTCTTCTTATTTTTGTCGGCTTAGTTCCCACAGAAGCGGCTTTTTCGAAGGTTCGGCTTCTCTCGTGATTTCCAAAAGCTCCTTTTCAATCCTTTTAAAGTTTCTTATGGTGCAGGTAATTTTTTTCCAGGACTTTTTTGGCTTTTATTTGCAATTTAATTTTTTTTTGACAAAACGCTTGTTTGAAGTTTTTTTTTCATTTTTTGTTTGCAACATCATTTGATTTTAATCATAGTCATCATCCATTTTTGTATCGCAATTGTTATGTGGTCAATTCTTATTAAGTGGTTATTTTTTGATAGTTTTTTAAGCGAAATGCGTGTGCATGAAACAGATTACTAAATTAGTTTTCTGCTCACCTCTTTGCAAATTAAGCTTAAATAGAGTTACTTTCTCTATGTTAGGCAGTTCCAGTTCGGCAAGTGTGACTGACCACCGGATGATGCGCATGGTTAGTATTTCGGACAGCAGTCAGGGATCCAGACCAGCCAGCTCTGCTGTTGGTTCAAATACCAGTCGACCACGCTCTGCCTCTCAACCGAGAAGTTCTTTTCAGAGTGTAAAAAACGAAGTGAGTTTGCCTATTTTTGTTCTATCTTAATTCAAAAAATAGACCTACGTTTCAATTGATGATTGATGATAATAATATGCCTCTTGCAATATTTTTTTCTACTGCTAGTGCAATCTAAAAAATACAATCAATCGACATAGATCGTCCTGTGCATATATGTAATACCTCGTATTGTCAGAATTACATCGACCAGAAAGAATTATCGTAATGCAAAAAACTAGAGTCAAAATTATATTAAATGGTATTATTTTTATTATTAGCGCAATGATTGACAATGGTAAGTGATGTGTGTTCTAAAGTGTGATTTGGTTACCCTTGAATTTGTTTGGCAGTCTTTCTAATTTATCGCCGCTTTGATTAAGAGTCGATGAACTCAGTTAACTTCATTTCCGTTGTAAAAAGGACGGGAAATTCCACTATTGAACCGAGAAATTGTAAAGATCACGAAAAAGGTGATCGACTTCTAATTTCGAAAATTGAAATTAATTTTCAGATTTCCCTGCTAATCAAGTTGTACTTTTTGATCCAGTTTTCAAGTGGAATAATTTAATCAAAAAGTGCCAATCATCATAAGTTGTTCTAGAAGTTCAAAGAGCTTTCAGGGCATCTTTTTTTGACATTCGAAAATTGAAGTTTTTCAGAAAACAAGTCAGTATTTTTTTCTGTTTGCCTTCTTTCCATCGACTCTTTTCCTATTGTCTGGTGGCTATGTTTTGAACTTCCCCCATGCACTGTCTCTAGCCTTGAAAGTGCTAAAAGGCTATCACTATTAATACTTTGCTTGTGCCTGCTTGGTGTATTTGAAAGGAATTCTAACAAGGTTTACTATCCCAACTGCTGATTAATCAGCTGTTATAGCATTTCTCGTCAAATAATAACCAAGAATATTTTTTCCGTTTCCAGGTTTACAAACCAGAAAAGTTCACTCAGCCTGTTCCTAAGCGTTCGTTCCACGAGATCAACTCGTTCCTCAACGGCAACAAAGTCCTGCCTAGTCCAGGTGCTCCGGACGAGTTCAACTTCAAGCCAGCCTCCGACGTCTGTTACGAAGATATCACAGCTGATAAAAATAGCAGGAAACGAGCCGCTGCGAATGCAAAGGAAAACCCAAAAACCTCACTGGTTCCTCCCAGAAGGTGAGTTAAGATCAACTTCAGCATAAATGCCATGTCAATTTTCATAAAATCACATTCTCGAAACAGCTGAAAACTTTTCGTTCTTAATTATAATTTGCTTTTAGCGGTACTTTATCCCTGCGATAAGTACGGGTGTTGCATCTAAGTACTAAGTTTTAAAAATTGTTCAGGCTCAAATTTACTTTTTTGCGGTTTGAGTTCTGATTTCTTTTAAACACATCATTTTCTTTGCTAAAACACATCATTTTCCGAAAATTGAAAAAAAATTATCAGATTTCCTTGCGAAATAAAAAATTTAATTTTTTGAACCAGTTTGAATTGTTCGAAGTTCCAAGATCTTTAGGTCCATCTATTTTTTTGCTTGAATTTCGAAAGTTGAAGTTTTTTCAAAGAAACAAGTCAATTTTTTTCTGTTTCTTTGCGTTCGTTGACTATTTTCCAACTGTATGTTGGCTGTTTTTTTAATGCAAAGTCTTAAAAGTTGTTCAGGTTCAACTTTAGTTTTTCGCGGTTTGATCTTTGATTTCCTTTAAAGTTCAGTTCGTTTCCTTTGTTAAAAGGAAGGCAAACTTTACTATCGAAGAGCGAAAGTGTAATGGTCACAAAATCGACTTCTAATTTTGAAAATGGAATTTAATTATCAGATTTACAAGCGGAGTCTTCTGCTTCATTGATTAATGTGCAGGAAATTATTACGCATGTAATTGTTATGCTGTCGAATAGTCTTTTTCCTGAAACAACCCGTCCAACGAATCACTGAATCATTTTCTCAAAACCGAACTTCAGTCTACCAGCAGATATACTTTGCATCATTTCTGCATTTCAATTAGCTGCAACATGTCTGCCTTTCAAATACACGTTTTATTTGATATTAAATTGTTTGATTTTATTTTGCCAACTCCGATTTGGTATAAATTTTTGTTTTTTTTTTATTTAATCGATTTAAAGTTTTCTCGGTTTATACTTCATTGGCTAAGTGGCCTCATATTGCATCGTTTGATGAGCAAAAAGAGTTTTTATACGTGTAACGTTGCGTTTTGTGAGGCGATGATTTTTTGTTTTTTGAAAGTTTTCGTTCAGGCTCAAGTTTGATTTTTTTTGCGGTTTCGTTTTTTTTTAAATTCAGTTCATTTCCTTTGTAAAAAGGAAGACAAGTTCCACTATCGAGCAGCAACAGTGTAAAAATCATGGAGAAGGTGATCGACGGGTTTGAATTTTACGATTTACCAGGGGAGTAAATTTTCTCTATTGGTCCATCTTTCTCAATATGGATTAATTTTTCACTGGAGTCAGCTTAGTGTATTAATACGAGCCTTTTTTTTCTAACCTGCGTCGCAAACCTTTGTGCCACTTTTGTTGGAACCTTTCAGTTTTTTTTGATAGCATGGGCTTTGACATTCAAATTTTAATAAGCTAAGACAGTTGATGCATTTTTAATTCATCAATTGAACCGAAAGTAAAAATTTATTTCAAACAGCAAAACAATCATAAAAATTCGATTTCAGAAGTTTATTAAATCACATATCTCGCCATTTTTTGAAATTCTTTATTTATACATAATGTGGCTTTATGCTTTGCGATTTGTTACATGCAAAGTTACTGTGGATGCCTTCAGTTTGATATATTCCAAATAATTACATGGAAAATTGAGTCTATTTGTATTTAGTGCCACTGTTGCTGAATTGCATTGGCAATTTATTAGTATATGTAGCTGCTTTATTGTTGACTAATGTTTGTAAATGTTTAAGTGTACGTGGCTGGTTGGTTAGTGCGTGAGACTCACTTTATTGCAATAGGTCGCAGATCGAATCCTAGACCTAGCTGAACTTTTACTAGTTCGAAGCTGCTTTTTTGTCGTGTTCTAGCTAGTATATGCGAAGCGAAGCTTCGCTTCTCCTTATCAACAAGTCAAAGAACTTATGAATATATTAAATGAAAGTCAGAATGCGCTATGGACGCTATGTTTAGCTGAACGCAATGTGTTAGCTTTGTCGAATCCAACGTTTAAGAAGTTCTTTAGGCTTAACGTTTAAGAGAAGGCGAAGAATGTGTTGACAAGAATTCAATTCTTTAGACAAGATGAACTCAATTCATTTTCAAGGCTAGACAGTCTTTGTCTGTTTTTCCTTTAACAGATTGTTTGCCAACCGACTTGCGCTATGAAAAGTTTTGAAATGTCATACTTTCATCGCTTGCTTAGCAAAACCTAAGCTTTTCGGCAATCGATTCGCTCTGTGAAAACTTAAGATAATTCAAAGTTTCTTTTCCTCAATAGTTTTCTTCGAAAAACCGAAACTTCTTGCCAGTCGATTTTCACTATGAAACAACTTGACGTATTTCAAAATTTCAGCACATTAACTACGTCCTCAAAAAATTTTGAATAATTTCAAGTTATCTCAAAGATCGAATCGTTTTGCGAAAAGCTTTGCCCAAAACGATTCGGTCTATAAATTAATTCAAAATTTAATAGCTTTAAAGCTCGCTTAAAAAACTTGAGGCTTTTCGCGAGCTAATTCGGTTTATGAAATAACTTGAAATGTTTCATAGCTTTAAAAGCTTGATTAGAAAAACTCCAAGCTTTTCGCAAACTGATTCGGTTTATAAATTAGCTTGAATTATTTTAAAATTTCTACCTGAAAAAGCTTGCTTAGAAAAACTTAAATTTTTGCGAATTGATTCGCTCTATAAAACAACTCGAAATAAATCATTCTTTCATCGCTTGAATAGCTTCCATAGTGAAACCTAAAATTTTGCCATCCGATTTGCTTCATGAAACATTTTGAAATATTGTAAGTTTCATAGCTTGAATAGCTTGCTTAGAAAAACTTCAATCTTTCGGGAACCGATTCGTTCTATAAAGCCTAAAGTTTTTCAAAACGATTAACGATATAGCTCAAACTGAAACTGTTCAATGTTTCATTGCTTGAATAGCTTGATCAGAATAACAACTAATTTTTTGTGAGCCAATTGATTATTGGAAGCGGGCTTGCTAGTATCAACTAAAACTAAAATCGATAACAAAAGTTATCGAAGTTTAGTATTGTGTTTGTAGTTTTAGTTTAGTATTGTGCTGTTCTGTGGGGTACCCTGTAGAACACGAAGGTGCAAGGGCGCTTTATTTTGTTCATGTACTTCTCACAAGCCACCAGACCACACATTTTGGAGTTTCCGGCCGTTTTGATGAGGCGGGGTCGTACGTGATGGTTCCTGAGTTACTGAACTTAAGTAACCTGCGAATGAATAAACAAAATGCCACAAGTGAAGCGCCCTTGCAGTATATGAAGAGAAAACCATGAACGAATCAAAGAATTACCACTCAGCGCTGATTAGTTGCGAAGTACACGATGAACAAGAGGGACACGAGGTTATTATATAAAGTGTGAACCGATGGACCACGAAAGGTCACACAGATAGAAGTAGCATAACCCAAAGTTGAACAGCCTCTCCCATCCCCGAGAATGCATATCCGAATAGCGCCATGGAGAGTGCAGATCCGAAGTCTGATCCGAAGGAACTATTATCTCGAAGAACGGACAGTTACCCCGAACTTGAACAACTTAAAAGAAGCTTATTTGCCATAATTGGTTTGTTACAAGGAGCGAAATCTATCCTTTTGTACTTTATATGGCGTGTGGGGGGATGATTTTCATAGAAAATTTCACAATTTAGAAGAAAAAATTTTTTTTTCATTTTGTTTCATTTCATTGAATTTTTTTAATGTTATTACTGCTCCATAAACCTTAAAAGGCAGTCGGAACATTCAGGGCTTCGCCCTGATACGAGCAGTCTTGTTCTTGTTAGAATACAATTTAGCGCTTTGCCTTAACATGTCACCTAAAGATCAGAGTTAACGAAGATGTCCACAATGAAGGGTAGATATTATTATAACACAGTTTCATTCTGTGTTTCATTCTGTGTAACAATAATCTTAAAAACAACCTTCTTCAAAACTTACTTTTGTTTGGATAATGTGAGTCCTCCAACCCGAAAGTGCATCAACATTGACGTCATTCGAACTCGTTTCGGAATATCTAGCTTCTATCTGAGACGAGAAAGATCCTGCATTCTGATGACGACAGGAAGATTTATGTGGCGGACGCGGAAGATAGATGACAAGGTCTCTTCGCGAAGAGGAAACTACAGGCAGGGGAGTTCGTGTGTGCCAACTGGAGAAAGCCATTGCTGAAAAATGAAAACGAAAAATTGAAAGCAGCAGGGAAGAATGTGTTGTGTTTCACTGATGGCCATGACCTGTTCGTTGATGCCACTGACACACTCAACAGTGGGAAAGCTCGCTATTTGAGCGACTACCACGTGGATCCGAATGTACTTGTGAGGCGGATCTACCACAATGGCATGAGCCATATTGTCTTCAATTGTCCAGGAGCTTTGCTGCAGTTACGGGGACACGATAGCGCCAAGGAGAGTGGTGCGATTGCCCGGCATCAAAATGCCAACGCCATTGCCATCGCCTCAACCATCGCCTCCGCCACTAGCGACCCGAATTGTCAGAAAGGGATTGCAGCCCACTTGAAGCTGAAGTGGAGGTCCAAGCGGAGGGTCTCGCCATCAGAGAAAAGGACTCGGAAGCATCAGAAGACCGACCAGTGTCGCAAGCCAAACGGTCAGAAATGGATTGCAGCCCGCTTGAAGTAGAAATGGAGGTCCAAGCGGAGGGTCTTGCCATCAGGGAAACAGACTCGAAAGCGTCAGAAGGCCAGCCAGAACCAGTAGAGCCACCGCGGTACTATATTACCTATGATTTCCCTCTCCATAAGAAAGATGACTCCAAGATTCGTTTTCCTCCGGCAAGAAAAAGACATCATTTTGGTTCAGGAACATCGGCACACACAGGAGAAGCCAGACAGACAGGAGGAACCAGACAGACAAGAGGAACCAGACAGACAGACAAGAGGAACCAGACAGACAGGAGGATCCAGGCAGACAGGAGGATCCAGACAGACAGGAGGAACCGAAAAGCATGACGAGTTGGGGGACAGGAGGAACCGAGAAGCATGACTAATTGGAGGGACAGGAATCGAGATAGGAGGAACCCAGGGGCATGACGAGTTGCGGGGGGGGGGGCAGGAGGAACCGAAAAGCATGACGAGTTGGGAGGACAGGAGGAACCGAGAAGCATGGCGAGTTGGGAGGACAAGATAAACCGATACAGGAGGAACAGAGTTGGGAGGCGTTGGCCCATGTTAGTTTTGCGATTATGCAATTGAATTTTGCTAGGAAATGGTGGAACACCAGATTGAGTGTTCAGTGCGGCAATGCAAGGGTGTCACCGAAATGTACCAAGGGAGGAAAGTGCACTCTTTCGTCCAGTGCACGGAATGCACAGTCTAGTGCAACTAAAAAGTACTTCTCGAGGAAGCACACCAGCCACCAATTCCCGGCGAGACTTACCACTTATAAACGTGGGAGGAAGATCAATACCAGAAGCTCCAGGCATGTAGCAGAGAGCGATATGATGAGAGCCTCGAAATCGACTCCCCTAGAACAGCATTCCCCAGCCAACATCTACGGGATCAATAAATCGACAAACCAATTAGTTTACGGAAGCAAAGACGATCGCCATCAAGCAGCGATGATTCTAATGAGAGCTTGGTGGAGGATCGAAGTAACTTACCGAAATCAGCGGAGGACGAAAAATTTAAATGTGAATTTTGCGAGGAAACCTTCAAGCCTATATCAAAAGTGTCACCTCATGAAGATTAACGGCGTGACAAAACGAAAGTTTCTGTGTGTCAAATGCAACGAGTATATGTATTTAATAATTTTTTCATAATCGAGTGGTTACATATTCTCTATGATTTTCGAGTATGGTTTCCTTGCGTTCATTGACTACTCTCCAACCATCTGTTGGCTATGTTCAAGGTTTCTTCCAGCGTTTTATGAACGCATTTTTTTGAGATCAGCGGGTGTGTGCTTGAAAAGTTTTGGCTTTTTACCACTTCGTAAGTATGTTGTTTCGATGCAAATTTTTTTAAATCGTTTAATTTTTTCCATAGCGCTTATCCTGAGACAGACTAGATATAGGAACCATTATCATAAGTTTCGTTTTCTAAGGTTTGAAAAAGTCTTTTTGTTGCTTTTGGACAGAATTAGAAAATTTAGCAAATTAATTTAGCAATAAAATGGTCTCGAAATTAAATAGTTTTTCATAGAAAATGGATAAGATGATTGATTTAGTGTTCAATCCTTTTCCACTAAATAAAATCTCTTTGATTCTGTTCATCATTACTAAAATTATTTCAAATCGATGTACGCTTTCTGATTTTAATATGCCTTGAATCAGTTGTTGTAATTGGCGTCGGTTCTATTTAGGGATCTTCTTAGGATGGAGGAAGACAAAGAAGGCAATAAAAAGACGCCGCTTACGACGCATCAAAAGGGACCATTGAAATGGGTAAATGTATGTTGAGCAAGCATTCGGTTTTAAATCTTCGTTTGCAAGCATTTGCTATCGATTTCTGGTCTTTTACAACATCAAATAGGTACTTCAGGCTTCAAAAAGCATATCTCAAGTAAATTTTTATTAATGGTTTCATATTCGAGTGGTTACAGATCAAAGTTGGATTTTTATTTTTTCAACTGGTTTTTTTGATAAAATTTACCTTCTATAACTCATTTAGCCAGCATGGCTTTGTTTATTGTTTTTAAGACAAGTGAAACTGGTTCTATGAGTGCTTACGATGCTGGATTTCTGGACGACAAATCGGAAGCATTGCCTGGCGGTTATCCAAGGAAAATTACACTCAACAATCAATGTACAACTGTCCATAAGAAACAAGGCAGTTTGAAAAAGGGATTCACGACTAACCAAAAGACTGATGTAATTTTGTCGAGGACTAAGTCCGCGGGGGAACGAGTGTCAAGACCCAGGAGTGCAGGTAAGAAAATAGTATTGGAGAATCTATTTTTAATTTTTCTATTCTTTTACGACCTAAGTTACTATTACTATCAAATGTCTAATTTTGTGCTTTCGCTCAGACGTTCTCATCACACCAAGAATAAAAAACGACCCAATTTGGTTTAAAAAACTCTCACTCAATTTTTATTTTAAGCTGTTTGACCTTTGGTTTTTTCTGTAATTTCAGTTCAATTTCGTTTGCTAAGTCAGAATTGGATGCTCCAATAGCGAAGATGCAAATGGTGCGAAAAACATGAGTGGATTTTTTTGTATTTTAGATTCCCAGCGACATGAAAAATTATTTTTTTGATCTTTTTTGTGTTAAGGCGATATTTTGTTCTTTAAAGTTCAATTGTTGTCATTTTTTTCTGGAATTGTTCTGTCATTTTATTCCGACTACTTGAGCTCATTGACGCTTCCAAATGTCCGTTGGCTACATTGGTTTTTTGTTGATGGTCTTTTTTGTGATGCATGTTGTCTCACAAGTTTTCTCTTCGACGGTTTCTTATCACCCAAATACAAAGTGATGACCCACTAGGTGGTCCGAATAAATAAAGCTGATTTGTGGAATTTTTTTCAGTTGCTTGTTACACTGATTTCGTGTATTCTGTGCCCACTCCGGTGATCATGCCAGCATCTAATAACGGAGCAGAAACCGGAGGAGGAAGAGACAGCAAAACATTCCTTCGGGTGAGTTGATATTGGAAGGCAGTTTTGTATTTCACGCACGCAATGAATTGAGTTCAATGGAAACTAAGGTACTCAATCACTTGGAGTTTGTCACTGCAGTTCTCCCAAACACGAAACAATTTGAACTAGGGTAACCGGTTGCTGTGCATTTGGCCACGAATTTTCCTTATTCTTTTTCTATTCATAAAATAACTGACCGCTGTTTTTTTTTTAGTTTTTGATTGAATTTACCCATTGTAACTGTTTCGAAGGAAATTTTAAAGTTTTATACAGCGTTAAACTGTGGAAACCCAAATCACGTTTAAAAGGGCTTTATTATGTTACCACGCCTTTATCGTTTCTGCAGTTGTGTTCACATTTAAGAACTAAAATCTTAGGTACATTTAAGAACCGGCTATCTTAGGTAGTTGTTTTCACCAGTAAAAACGAATCGCCTTGTTTTAGCCACCGTTGAAATCTGCAATGGACTCAAGGAGCAGCTCAGATCTGACCGAAATGCGACAGCAAGTGCTTCGTCCTTCTGCCCGCGAGAACACGCCTACAAGCAATTTTGGGTCAGCTTCTACTAATCGGAGCAAAACTGCAACAGGTATCATTTCGGAAGGGCAAATTGAGATGAAAATAGCAAAACACATGGACTCTCTGTCACATCAGTATAAAAATTCAACTCTGGCGCTCCAAAAGAAAATAGGAGTCACAATTGATGGACTTGTTAAGTAACTTCAATTCTCATCTGCGTTATTTTGTCGAAATAGTTTGATTTTCAGTCTAGTCGATCACCACAACCATGCAATTAGTTCTGTTTCTATTGTAAATTGCTCACTTCTTTCGGCGAGTTTTACAACTTGCCTAAAATGTAATAATTTAATTGCAATAAAGATTTTTATTGTAAAATTTCTTAAAAAGAGTTTTGTATTAATATGTCTAGTCTGTACTAGTAGTCAACATGTGTACCAATAAATTGTATCAAGAGTTGTATGATAAACAATTTTTAAAAATGTTGCACCATGACATGTCAATGAAGCAGTTGCTTCTGCTGTATTCATGTTACCCAGTGTTTCAGATTCGTGGTGATTTTAAGTATAATAATTACGCTTGCGATTATTGCGATTAGCAAGCATTATCAAAACTGGAATGTAGACTTTTTCCTGGTTAACAACTTGTTTAACAGAATCATTTGATCACTTGTGTCTTGGTTCATAATGAATTCAACCTTCTTCGCGTTCCGAGCCACTTTAGCCTGAAGGTAACGATTATGCCTTGGACGGCAAAGGTCGTGGGTTCGAATCTGAGTAAGACCTTTTTTATTCAAACCGAAAACATTATGTTTCAAATAAAATTGCCGTCCGATTATTTGTCTGCATATTTTTTGGCGGCTTAATTGTCATATTTTGGAATCGTTTTTCTTTTTCGCTGCGCGTATTTTTCTTTAATGTTGCTTTTTTTGTTTGGTTTGATTTACTCCTAGAATTTGTAATTTTACTTGCCTTGACTTCGTATTTCCTTTGTTTTTTTTCTTCTGCCTAATGACCTAATTGTGGGTCGTTTTAAGGGAAGCACAAGTTTAACACTTCCCTCCGCACTTTTCAAATTGGTTATCTGTTTACCAATCGATTTGTTGAAATTTACTTTTTTTTGTTTTGAAAAATGTTTTCACATTTTGCAAAAATTTTTGTTTTTCTCGCACACTTCTACTGAGTCTTATGAATTTTACTTTTTTTAATTTGTTGCTTTTCTCTTTAACTACCCCTCTCAAATCTGAGTTTTTGATTTAAATGTTTAGAAAAGCTCCCCTGCGTAAGCGGCTACGCCCAGTTTTGTTTTAAAAAGTTAGGACCCTCGAAATAGTCCACTTTTTGATTTTTGACGGTTTTGTGATTCTTTGACTTTTCTGGGAAACTAACGTCTCAAATCTGATATTGTTGGTTCAAGGGAGTAAACAGGTACTGGGAAGCCCCCTGCATTAGCGGCCACCCACAATTTTTTTTACAGGAAAAGTTATCGCCCTCGGAAAAGACCAATTTTTGATTTTGAAGCGTTTTAAATATTCTCGAAAACTTCCCTGCGATATCTGAGATTTTGGGTTCAATTCAAAGAAGGGGTTGTGGGAAACTCTTTTGGTTGTGCGACCGTGCCACACTTTCTCTGACACCAAATTTTATGGACCCCGGGAATTTTGATTTTTTGACCGTTTTTCTTTTCGGAAACTACCCTCCCAAATCTAACATTTTGGGGTCAATCGAAATTACAGGTTGCTTAATTTTCTTCTGCGTGAGCGGCTTCGCTCTGTTTTTTACACAAAAAATAATGATTTTGGAAATGACATTTATAAAATATTGACCTTTTTTTCTTTTCTCCATTTTGACCGTTTTTTGGGACTTTACTCGCTAGCTATTCGGTCAAATCTGATATCATAGGTTTCATCGAAGCAGTAGGTTTTTAAAAGCCTACGTTTATAATTGGTAATGCCCAGTTTGTTTAAGAAAAAAGCTATCGCCTTCAAACAAGTCAAAGTTTTGAAACTTAGACAGTTTTTTGGAAACTTTGACTTAACGCGAAAATTTGCCAATTCGCAGATTGTGTTACATTGAGAAACCCATTTTTGGAAATCTCTGCATAAGCGTCCATAACCTGCTTTGTGCCGAAACGAGTTATGGATTTTGGAAAGTCTTGACCGTTTCTTAGAACTTCTGACCGTTTTTTAGAAATTTTTTGAATTTTCTTCATAATTACCCAAGCAAATCTGAGATGAAAAAGTTCAATTCAAAAAACCGGTTGCAATAATTGTTTTTACAGAAGCGGCGACTCCTTTATTTCCTGTTAGAGAAATGTTGTATCCTTAGGAAAATTGATTATCTCAAAATTAGTAGAGAAATGACAAAGTTTTTGGGCAAGTCCAAATTTTGAAATCACATTTTTCGTGCTGCATGAGTATAGAAAATTCATTCAGTATCAAGCACGTACATATAGCTTTAGCTGTATCCCTAGTTGTTTTTTTATCGAGACATACGAAATTTTTGGTTCTCCTAGTTTTTTCAGCATTTAATTTTTTTGTCGATATTTATGTTTGCGTTGTATCGCAAGTGGTGCTAGCTCCGTTACGCCTCTGTGTAGAATGTTTGTTATTCAAATTAAGTAAATTTTTTCAGAGACAAGCAAAATGAGAAAAAATAAGATTGCTGAACCCTTAGAAGAGGAAATTTCAGATCTAGATTCTGCTCCGGAAGAAATTCCTATACTGAAAGACGTCAAAACTGAAGTTATCAAAACAGAACCAGAGAAACGAAAAAAGAAGACAAAGAATCCGCTCAATATTTTCAACATTAGCCAGTCAGATTCAGATTCTATCAAGAAAGCGAATGGAGATTCTAATGTAAAAAACCTTCAAATCGATTCTTATTACGGGGCATATAGAGTTAGTCATGGAGTGAAAGCTGTAAGTCTTAAAAGCCTGGACCGGTCGAAAAGAAACCCATCTAATTGTGCGTTTGTAAATGAACTTGCATCGAAGTACGAAGGAGTTAGCAATAGAAATAAACAGAAGTTTTTCAGCAAGCTCGCAATGACAGGAAAAGTTGACTCAGGCTCAGTTTTGGCGTCTGATTTGAAACGCCGGAAAGAACTAGAATCGGCAGATGGACTTCATAAGCCTGTTCTTAGAGTTCCTGTGAGCGCTAAATGTCCAAAATTTATTTAGCTTATGTTCGTTGCTATTTTGGTTTTCTCTCCCGGCTATTCATTCAATAAACTTTTTTGGTGTTTGTATTGTTCAACTTTCTGTTGAGCACATGATATAATAGTGAGTTGAATTTTATTTTTGAGTTGGATTTTGTAATTTTGAAATTGTAACCAGTTGAAACCTCATATTCTTTTCGCATTTGTATTTTGAATGAGTTTTATGGAGAATATTTGTTTTCAGGTTTTTGTTGTAATTCGAAGATTTTAATTTCATTTGATTATACTGAACCGAGATGAGCCATACAATATCAGCGGAGCCAGTGATGGCCGGAGGCAAACGGGCCCCTAAGAGCGCCGCCGTGAAGAACAAAATGCCGGCGGAGCAGCAAATCACAGCGGAACAACTGATGCGAGAAGCGAAGGAGCGTGAGCTGGAGGTGCTGCCTCCGCCTCCGAAGCAGAAGATTCAAGATCACGAGGAGCTGCAGTCGTACCAGTTGAGGAAGAGAAAGGAGTTTGAAGACAACATCAGGTAAGTACTGCTGGTGCGCAAACATTCGGCATAGTAGGTAAAAGCTTGGCTATCCTCTTGTTTGAAAGGTCTATCTTTTTTAATAGAATTTGATTTCAACTTAAGTCTGACATTTGAATTTCATTTAACCTGAAACAAAGTTTGGCCGATATAATTTCTCGGTTTCCATTTTGTTCTAGAAAGAACAGGAGCAACATCGTGAACTACATGAAGTATGCCAAGTGGGAGGAGTCAATGGGGGAGACGCAGCGGGCGAGGAGTGTGTACGAGAGGGGGTTGGACATGGATCACAGGACAGTGACCACTTGGCTCAAGTACGCCGAGATGGAGATGAAGTGAGTATAAGTTATGTTTCGAGTAAGTAAAGTAGTTTGAGTTTTTTGGGTCCCTAACAGGTCCTCTCATTAGAACTTCCATTTTAACAAGAGGGAATAGCAATAGTATCTTGGCATGAAATAATGAAAAAGGCAGTGTTTAGAATCATCAAATTAATCATCTAAAAAGATTCGTTTCACTGATGAACTTTTTTTCTTTTCAGACATAAGCAGATCAATCATGCGCGCAATATCTGGGACCGTGCAGTCTCAATTCTGCCCCGAGTGAACCAGTTCTGGCTCAAGTACACCTACATGGAGGAGATGCTTGGCAATGTAACAGGTGTGAATGATGAAACCTTTTTTTTGCTTGAAAAGACATCTATGATAAACTATCATACAAAAACTTCACAAAAGAACTATTCACGAAATCCAGTTTTAATTTTTTTCTCATTCACTGCTCCGTCGAATCACTAATTCTGCTTTTTTTGAATATATACGTTTGAAAATGTTCGTTTAGGTGCTCGGCAGATTTTCGAGCGGTGGATGAAGTGGCTTCCTGAGGAGCAGAACTGGAACACTTACATCAACTTCGAGCTCAGATACAAGGAGTTCGAAAACGTCAGATCTATCTACGAACGACTAAGTTAGTCTATTAAAGATTCATTTATTGCCTGTGAAATATATATAATCGCTTCTTTCTCTCAATAGACTCTGAGGTGGATTACTGCCAAGTTACTCTCATGGGTTGCAAGTGTGGTCTCTAATTGACTGCTCCCGGCGTCTATTTTGTTCTTTGAAATTCGAAAGTTGAAATTTTTTCAACAAAGTCGGTGATTTTTTTTATGTTTACTTGCGTTCATTTCTTGTCCAATATTCGATTGGCTATGTTGTTTAAGAGTTGATGAACGTAGCTCGCGTTCTTATTACGTTAGCCAGCTTGCGAGCGTAGCGCATTTGTATGACTACTTTTTTCCAGCCTCGCTCCCAAATAAAAGTGCTCATTTGGTGGCTTTTTTGATATAATCACGATCTGTAGCATTAGAAACTTGTTCCCTGCTTCATTTTTGGCTAGTAATTTTCAATTGCTAAGCGGCTGTGAGGGCAGGGCGTGCAACTACAAATCTTGAAGTCGCAGGTTCGAATCCGATACGTAGCAATGTTTTATTAATTCGAGACTTGTTTCCCTTTTTTTCTCTTAGAGCTGTTTTTTTTGTGGGTTTCGCTAGTTTTGTGAAGCATAGCTTTGCCTCTGTGTATAGGTCGTGATGATTTACTTTTTTTGCTTACATTTACGTTTTCGCGGTTATACTTTTGATTTCAGTTCATTTCTTTTGTTAAAAGGAAGGTAAACTGCACTATCTAACCGCAGTATTAAGTGTTAAGTTCACGAAACACGTCACCGTCTTCTAGTTTCGAAAACGGACTCCAGTTTGCAGGTTTTCCAGCGGAATAAAAGTCTTCTGGTCCAGTTTTCTCAAAATGGGTTAATTTAAGCAAATTTTTGTCAATCATAAAGTGTTCCTGAAATTCAAAGTTCAGATTCTTATATAAGTTGTAGTGATTTTTTTTCATGTTTTAAAACCTAAAATTAGTTCAGGCTCAAACTTAACTATTTCGCGGTTTGATTTTTGATTTCTTTTCAATTTCAGTTCATTTTCTTTGTTAAAAGGAAAGCAAACTCTACTATCGAACAGCAACAGTGCTAAAATCACGAAAAACGTTATTGACTTCTAGTTTCGAAAGAAAGGGTCATAGATAAGCTATTGAGTATCAAAAACTTTTAAGGTTACCTATTTGTGCTTTGAAATTCGAATGAGATTTTTCAAAAAACAAAGTGTTTTTTTTTCCTGTTAACTTGCGTTTATTTTCACTTGCTTGCACTTTTCGAATTGTCTGTTGGCTATGTTTCAATGTTCTTTCAAATTCGAGAAAAATGACTGAGCTAGCAGTATTTTGAGCTTTCAAGTTGTTTTTCTTGTTGATTGCTGCTCTCAAGAATTTACCAAATATTAGTTAATAACTTGACATTCAAAGTTATGTAAAAGTCATATTAGAATGCAAAAGCTTTTTGTTTTTTTTTAGTCGTCCACCTGATAGATGTGAAACACTGGATCAAGTATGCCAAGTTCGAGGAGCGTCATGGCTACGTAAACAGAGCGAGAGCTGTGTACGAGAGGGCGGTGGAGTTCTTTGGGGAGGTGGAGTTGGAGGAGTCTCTCTTCGTCGCATTCGCTCAGTTCGAAGAACGACAAAAAGAGGTTATTAAGTGTGATGCAATAGCTATGCGTCATTTTAACGCAAGAATGAGATCCAATTTAATTTAGTTCCGCTGAAGAGTACCTCGAGTTATAAGTTGAACAGCGCATATAGTTTCAAAGCAAAGTAGAGCCGAGCAAGTCAATTCGAATAAAAGCATTACAAGAGCACTGAATTGCCTTATTTGATTTTACTAGCTAGAGTCTAATCGATCTAGGTCCGCTCATCACAGCTTGGCACTAATTAAGTGAAAGTGCTGTAAAAAAGTTTGATTTGGTTTTTGTGGCAAGATGTCTTATTGGTTTCGATACTAGGAGTTTTGTATGTCGTTCAATGGTTATGAAAATTGATGATAAAATGGTCGGAAATTGTTCTTAGCCGGATTCCGTATTAAAGGCACTGACTTGAAAACTAAACCTGCTGAAAATCTCAGTTCTGGCGTTATTATTAACCAACCAAGGGCTTGTATTATGATACGAGCTCATTTTTTCCAACCTAACTTGCGTGGTTAGTGCTCATCAGAAGTGCCAATTTGTAATGTGTTTTGCTTTAAATTAATTATGTTGGCAATTTATAGCATTTGTTTTATCCGCATTACTATTGGCTGCTGTTTGGAGGCGAGGTAGGTGGTAAGCGTAGGTATCGATTTTGTTTTTATTTTTAAAGTTACTTTTTGTATTTAAGTGTTTTGTGAAATTTTAACGTTTCCTTTTTTATTTTTGGATCTACTTAACAATTGCGCCCCCCCCCCCCCCCTTTTAAGAAAGGGGCCAATTGTTAAGTAGATTAAAATGACGCATTTTCGATCAATCAGAATGCAGCAAAATTCTAATTCTCAATAGAAAGCTCAGTGCTAATTTACTGCTTTTATTAATAGGGGTGGCAATTCTTAAGCAGATACCAAGGGGGGGGGGGGGCAATTGTTAAGTAGATCCTTATTTTTTGCTGTGTTTGCGTTGCCTCTCTGTTACACATGTGATAGTCGGTTTGACTTTTTCTGCAAAAATTTTGCATTTTTTGAGCACGCAATCAATTCAGCACGTGACCCACTTTTACTTTCTTGACTCTCTTGGGCTTAGCTCCCATTTTTCAGGACAAATTTATGAAAGTTCTAGAGGCTATCTCGTTTCATGTGTTGTTGAGATGGAACAAAAAGTATTAATTTTTGAAGTTTTCGTTTTTTAAAATCAGTTGTCTTTTTTTGTAGACTTAATGATCGTTATGAAAATGCCAATGAACAAAGTGAAACACATTAACAGATTTTTATTTGATTTTTGAATTTTTTTGTTACAAGTTGCTCACATTCAAATCTAATGTTAAGCACAAAAATATGTGCATAATCGTGCATTTTTCGGAATGCGAAGTCCTACTTCTTAATTTTGAGGAAAAAACATCTGACTTTCTCTTGTTAAGAGTAATGAACGTAGTCAGTACTCATATGAGCGTTTTAGTGATTTTTTGTGTTTTTTCCAGGAAAAAGTATGAACGTTTTTTCACGCTTAATTTGGATTTTTCGCGGTTTGACTTTTTATTTTCTGTTAAGTTTAAAAGTAAGGGAAACTCTACTATCGAACAGCAATAATGTTAAGGGCACGAAAAACGTGATCAAATTCTAGTTTCGAAAATGGAATTTAATTTTCAGATTTTCCAGCAAAATTTACCTATTGATCCAGTTTTCTCAAATTGGGTGAAAGTGTCAATCATAAATTGTTCTAGAATTTCAGATAGCTTTAAGGTCACACAATTTTTTCTGTAAAATTCAAAAGGTGAAGTAATGAACGCAACAAAACAGAAAAAAAAACGGACTTATTTTTTTTTGAAAAAATTCGTTTTTTTTTGTTTTCTTTTTTTCCTGTTTTCTTGCATTCATTACTCTCTTCCAACTGTCGGTTGGCTATGTTTTTTTAATCAATGCTTGGATTGAGATTGTCAGAAAATTAAGTTGTTATGAAACATCACAGATCTCGATGTAAGATTTCTGTTCATAGTGGATATTTTCACTGTTGATTTTTTGTAGCTGCGTGTTATGTAGAACTTTCCAATATTTTTGTTTCAGTTTTCCAATACTTTTCCATTAGTAAAAATAATTTTCATAAGTTTTTTTTCTTAAATGGTGTTATATTTAGCTTCTTTCTTGAATAAACGTTTCAATGTGGAGCGGAATTATTTTAAAGTTAATCTGGATTTTCAATTTGATGACTGTCTGTTAACAAGTTGCCTGATTTTCTTTTAGCATGAGCGGGCTAGAATTATCTACAAGTATGCACTGGACCGGATTCCGAAGGAGGAGTGTCTGCAACTATTCAAGAACTACACCATCCATGAGAAGAAGTTCGGATCCAGGGACAGTGTAGAGAACGTTATCATCAGCAAACGCAGATTTCAATACGAATCAGTAAGTTGAACATTTTTGCATATAGCAACCCATGAAGTTTTTGACACTTCGACACTTTTAATCTACTGTTGTGTACGAATAAAAATTATAGAAAGTTCTGTGCTTTACTATTTGGGGAACTTGGTGGAAAAGCAGTTTGGTTGGTCTTAAAATGTCTGAACATTTTCTTATCGATCGAAAATTCCTTTCTCTCAAATAACGGGCAATTGCTTTGCAGATCTCAGCTTTGGAGAATATATGAGATCAATGTAAATGGCGTTTAATTTAAATATTGATAAAACTTAAATATTAATACTGATATAACTTTTCTTCAGGAAATTGCCTCTAATCCCCTCAACTACGACGCATGGTTCGACTTCTTACGTCTAATGGAGACAGAATGTGACTCTACTGAGGAGATCAGAGACGCATATGAGAGAGCTATTGCCAATGTGCCTCCTCTGGCGGAGAAACGGAGCTGGAGAAGATACATATACCTGTGGATCAACTACGCAATATTCGAAGAGCTGCAAGCTAAGGTACATAGATCGGATATTGTCTTCACCAACGGAGCAATCGTAGTATTATATCAGGAATCCTTTTTTCTGGAGTTTGCTTTATTATCTTGTTCCTTTATCGTGTTTTTTTTATGTATTTTTTATCTTGTTCCTGTATCGTGTTTCATAAATTTTGTTAGAGGGGGAAGTGTAAAATGGGTTGAACAACTTAAGTTCGCATTCAGCAGACGAGTTACTCGTTGCAACTTTCCACTTGTTGGCTTTTTGAATAAGAAAAGTGTGTGATTCATTCCAGGACACAGATAGATGTCGCGAGGTGTACAAGACCTGTCTGGAGATCATACCTCACAAGAAGTTCACATTCGCCAAAATGTGGATCATGTTTGCGCACTTCGAAGTGAGACAGAAACAAGTCACCACTGCCAGGAAAATCATGGTTAGATAAGTTCTCAGAAAGTAATTGGTCAAACGTTAGATGATGAATTTTGTTGGAGGCCAAATTAAAAGAGGGTTTTAATTTTCGACTGACCACGAAACAGAAACTACGCTTTTCTGCTTCATTGAAAAAGTTTGTTGATAAATGTGAAAAAGGATATTTGTCACGTTGCTTCAAATTTCTGATTTGCCTTAGGGTCAAGCAATTGGTAGGTGTCCGAAAGAGAAACTGTTCAATGCTTATATTGAGTTAGAGCAACAACTGAGAGAATTTGACAGATGCAGAATCCTGTACCAGAAGTTTCTCGAGTTCGCACCAGAAAACTGCAACACGTGGAAGAAGGTAAATGCTAGAAAATCTTTTTAAATCAAAATTCTTCAAGCAATAAACAAGTGAAAAGTGAATGTGCCATTAAAAATAGCGTTTGATATTATTTTGATTTGAAAAATCACTTACAGTGTTGCATATATGATGTCACGATTAACTTAACTAATAATTGCTCATATTTTGTTTGAGTTGATTGAGCTTTTCTTTTAGAAACCAGAGGTTTTTGAATTTTCTTAAGCTAATTGTTAATGAACCATTGACTTTTTAGTTTGCTGAACTGGAGAGTGTTCTGGGCGACACTGATAGAGCACGTGCACTGTACCAACTGGCAGTGAAACAACCCATTCTAGACATGCCAGAGCTAGTCTGGAAGGCATTCATTGACTTCGAAATAGAACAGGAAGAGTATGAACGTGCGAGGCAACTCTACCGCATTTTACTGACAAGGACTAGACATGTTAAGGTATGGAGCATAATTGTCGTTAAAGAAGGGATATTTACTTAACTCTTTATAAGATGCTTTAATATCACACACTTCAGCAGGTTTTATTTTCAATGTTCCAGAAAACATATTTTTTTGTGAAGCTCTGCTTCCTCGAACCATTTTCAAAATTCTCGGCAGAGCGATTAGCAAGAGTATTGCTATGAGGTACAATAGTCCCCCTCCCCCTAGATAACTTGGTTCGCCGAACTCATCTCCTGGAATTATACATCGCATGACCCGTCTCTGAGGGAACTTGACTGCAGCAGAATATTTTGAGCATGCTAGTATTTAAATTATCCGTCCCTTTTACACTTGCGAACTTTAGTAAGGTAGTGTTATAGTACGACTGTTCTTTTTTTTCTAACCTAAGGTGCAAGTATTGATTCCACTTTTGGGCACCTTAACAGCTTTTTGATATCAAGTGCTTTGACATTCGAATAGTTATAAGTTAACACAGTTGATGCAGTTTTCATTTTTCAGTTGAGCCGAAGAAAACTAAGTGCTTCAAATGTCAGTACAATAATAAAAACTCGATTTCAGAAATTTTCAAGCACAATATATCTCGCAATATTTTTGAAATGCTTAATTTATAGGTTACTTGGCTTTATGCTTTCGATATTATTACATGCAGAGTTAGCGTGAATGCCTTCAGTTTAATATATTCCAAATTATTACATGCCAAATTGTGTCTGCTTGTATTTGTTCCAACTTTTGCTGCTTATCATTGGCATTTTATTAGCATATGTAGCTGCTTTATTCATGACTAGTGTTTATGGGTTGCTAATAGTTCGTGGCCGAGCGGGCAGTGCGTGAGACTCCCAATTTCGAAGTCGCAGGCGCCCATCCGATACGCTTACTTATTCCGAAAGGCTTACTTAATTTGGGGCTTATTTCTATTTCATCTTTTTTTTTCCACTTTATAAAGCTGCTTTTTTGCCGTGTTCTCGCAAGTGATTGCGAAGCGCAGTTTCGGGTGTGTCAAATTTGTTTTTTTTTTGTATTTTTTTTCTCAGGAAATGTCTTTAAAATTTGTTCTTTAAAATTTAGTTATCAGATTTCTTACTTTCTTTACACAAGCAAAGCTTGTGTGATAGTATGAACTCTCTTTTTTTCCGACTTAAGTTTCAAATATTAGTGTCTATTTTGAAAAGTGTTCGTTTTTTATCAATAACCAGCTTTTAAGTTTAGCCAATGCTAAGGATATTAACACAGACTATTGTATTACAAATAGCACTTCAGCTATAAGTTATTATGGATATGTAGCGTAAAGGTAGGGAGGGAAAGAGAACCGCAACAAAATAAGATGTATCGAACCAGGGCAGGGTTGGATGTTTTCAATGAATTTTTTCGTATACAAGTTTAAATGCGTCCGCTCTATAAATTGAGGCAAGTTACTTGGCTAATTTCTTCTTTTTCAATTGAGTGCTAATACGTCATAATTGGCTTGCGTCACTTAGCAATTATGTCGACTCATAATTGGCGTGCGTCACTTAAGTATTTTTTTTAGACTCAAAGTTTAACTCATTCATTTTCCCAGTAGCGTTATCGGTCATTTTTTGGGCTTGTATGCGAAGTGCAACTTCGCCTCTATATAGAAATTCGGAAATAAAATCCTTCTTATATGAGTTCATTGGATCGTTTCCAACTGTCTATTCGGTATGTTTTAAATTTTCTTTTTTTTTGTATTTTTGAATTGCTTGGGTTTAATTTGTTTACGCCTGTACTACATCGGCCTAGTGGCCTCATTTTGCGTCATTTGATAAGCGAAAATATTTAATGTGCGTGTGTTTATTTGAGGGGTAGGGGAACTTAAAAACTTTTACTTACACTTGCGATCAGTGTAGTGTGTTAGTAGGAACTTTCTTTTTTCTAACTCAAAATAAACGTGCTTATTGAAAGTGGAAAGGGTCCACTTACTTGGTGGCATTTTTTTTTATAATAACGATCTGGCATCGGAAATTTCATAGCATGTTTTATTGTCTGTTTTATTTGTGGCCTAAAGGTTTTCTGCTTAGGTATTTTTGTCTTTATTACCGCTTAGTAGTTGTCTTCCGATTATATTTGTACATTCTATTGTCTTAGCATATTTTTGTATTATATATTCGAATGCGGGCTTCCTTATTTTGCCATGGTTAAGGTGTTCAACGCATGTTTAAGGAAAGAATGTTTTCACGTTTAAGCTATATCGTATATTGCAATGGTTAAGATTTTTTCGATTTTCCAAATTGAATTTAGATTTTATTTCACCAAGTTTGAAATTAGCAGCATAATATGGGATGCTGGCAGGTATCTTCTGGGGTTGAGAATTTGGCCTCCAATTATGAATACCCAAATCGTTTTAGTTGACGAGATGCGGCAACTTTAAGATTTTACAAAATTGAATATCCTTATCCTGTAGTTAGGCACTGAGGGTACTCTCAAGGGTTAAATTTTTTGCCTCCAAATATGACTGTTCAAATCTTGAAAGCTTTCCAGTTATGACGTTTTTTTGTGATTTTTTCAAAAAAATTTCATGAAAATTAAATATTAAAATTTGATATTCCTAAGCATGTAGCTGGTGGCTGTCAGGTTACTCTCAGGAGTTGCGAATCTTGCCTTTGACTTTGAAAAGTTCGAAAGATTTGAAATTCCCATCCTTGTAATTGGGTAACGTCAGCGTATTCTCAGGATTTCCAAGATGCAAATTTTTTGTCCAAATTCGACTGCTAAATTGCTTCTAGTTCCGAGTTAAGACGTTTGTTATGTAATTTTCAAACAACTTAGATATAAAAAAGCAGAAAGTTTTATGGTTTTTCAAAATTTTTATAAAATACTTGAATAAAAAACTTAACAAAATTTGAAATTACCAACCCTGTAATTGGGTGCTGTCAGAGTACACTCAAAGGATGCAGATCTTATTTCCACTGTATGAGATTTTTTGTGAGTTGTCAAAAATTCGAAGCACGGGATATGCGTTACACTCTGATGCTAAGCTCCGCTTTGTCTCTCTCTTTTGTTTTGCTTTTACTCAATCAAGCTAGCGAATGTAATATAATATGTCAAATGTCTCATTTTTCGATTTTCGTTTTCTCGCTTTTGTTTGCAAAAAGCAGCTTCCTCTCTGTGTTAATTGATGTTTCACCTGGCACATATGTTAGTAGAACATAGGCAAAATACATTCTCCGATTATGAAAGCTTAAATGGCGCGATAAATTGTGATGGATTTCTAGCTTCGAAAGTGGAATTTAAATTTGGAATTTGGATACTACAAGGTGACTTTTTTTTCAATCGAAGTCGATAATGTTAGTTTGTATTTCGTGGCACTTTTTAGCAAGAGGTTGAATAGGCTGTTCAATAGCATGTGCGTTGACCTTCAATTTTTAATAAGTTATCACAGTTGATTCATTTTAAATTCATCACATGAACCCAAAAAAGTTACAACAAAACAATAATAAAAATTTCTTGCATATTTTTTTTCCAATTCAGTTTATTTCGCGAAAATTTTGAATAATATAATTTATACAAGTTGGTATTGTTCTTTTCAATTTGCTATATAGAAATTACATTCCAAACTATTACATGCGAAGTTGGTGTCTCTGTGCATTTTGGAGCTCCTTTTTTTACCGCTTTTAGCTTGGCTTTGGTTTTTATATAAGTTGTTTGTTTTTATCTATCATGGATTTTGAACCAGATCTTGTGTGTAATGTTGGGGACAGTTTTAGCGCAATTAGTGAGGTGTTATCACAGCTTACGGAAGAGAATATTTTTTGATTGTTGACTTTATAAAGAAAAATTCATTTTTGTTTTTCAGATTTAGTTGTTCTATAAGCATATCTATCTTATGAGTTTGTCCACATATAGAACTTGAGCAATCTTGGTTAATCGGACCAAGAAGAAAATCGTTTTTTTTTCTGTGCAGTGATGAAATAAGAAATACCTGGAGCGTAACATTCTAAACGTTTTTTTATTATTTCGTAAATTAGCAAATAGAAAACACTGTTCAATGACCTCAGCCTTTGTTTCAGGATTGTATTTCATATCAATTTTGTACATATATGACAGTATAACTTTTTCTTAGTCCTTAAAGATTTTTTCTAATTAGCGCGATTACTCTTTAGGTGCTAGTCAAGCCTTTTTTTCATGTATCCAAAGAGGATGATAGTTGTTTATTGTTTACTTTATTAGATGTAATCGTTTCCCATTCTAGGTCTGGATCAGTCTGGCTCGTTTTGAGGCCACCCTGGAAGATGTGTCGAATGAAGAGGGAGAGGAAGGGCAAGGGACAAGCAGTAGGGCAGTGGAGAAGGCGAGGGAAGTGTTTAAAGAGGCGAACAAGTGTCTGCGGATGGAGGAAGCAGACAGTGAACAGAGACTGATGTTGCTTCAGCATTGGAAGCAGTTCGAGGTAAAAAAAATGCTATTAATTGTAAAAAGTCTTAATTTATTGCAATAGTTGATGAGTTAGTTACTTCGGAAACTTTTCAATGATCTTGTTACAAGTTGATCGAACTTAATTATAGCTTTTAGACTACTTAGTTTAATTTCGATCATTTTTTAAAGTGCTCACAATTGCGTGCGTGTGAAAATGTAGGTTTCCCGTCATCTGGGGCTCATCTAAAACGTGCATATTTGTTCGCCAAATTTGTTTTCTGACACCGAAAGAACGAACTCGAACTGAATTTGCGTTTTTCCAGCAAGAAAAAGGTGACGAAGTGTCCCAAACTGCAGTTAACGAACTGATGCCAAAGCGGATCAAGAAGCGGAGAAAAATGCTGACTGAAGATGGGGTGGACGCTGGTTGGGAGGAGTACTTTGACTACATTTTCCCCGATTCCGCCGGATCCCGAAGTCTGCAGAGCAACATAAGGTTATTATCAACATTTTACTTTCCATGAAACTTTTTTCTAAAACATGGAAGAACGTTTAAGGCCTCTCTTAAGGTAGCTCTGATCAATTTTGTACAAAGAATCTGTTTTTTAAGAGTCGATGAACGTAGTTCAGACTTTTATGAACGTCGCGATGATTTTTTTTTTCAGGAAAAGTTCTTTTCGCGTTTTTCTTTTTCTTTTTCGCGTTCTTTTTCTTTTTCGCGGTTTGAATCTTGATTTCTTTTCAAGTTCAGTTCATTTCCTTTTCTGAAAATGAAGGCAAACCCCACTATCGAACTGCGAAAGTGTAGCGTGATCAACTTCTTGCTTTGGAAGTGGAATTTAATTTTCAGATTTCCCTGCGATCCAGTTTTCTCAAATTGGGTCAATTTTGTCAAAAAAGTGGCAATCATAAATTTTTCTAGAAATGCTTTTAGTTTTAGTATTCTATCACTTTTCTATATCATTTTTCTGTTTTTTTTTTCAAAGTCTAAGGAAAATTATCACAAGTTTACGAATAATTGCAAAAAAATGTGGACACTTTTTCTTTTAAAGTGTCAAATCGTTGTGTTTTAAGGTTACTTGAAATGGCAAAGAAATGGTCGAATATGAACAAGGGGATGAAGAAAAGTGGAAATAACAATGAAGAGAATGATGCTGACGACGACGACACTGACAGTGATGAAGATGATGGTGATGATAATAACCAGAACTGTCGTATAGGAGGAAATGAAGACTCGGATTCGGATTTGAGTTATGAAGATGAAGATAATAATGACGGTGAAAGTGACAGCGAAAAAATGGCGTCTTCTCCTGTGAAGAAACAAAAGTTAGAGCGCTGTGAAGATAGTAACGCTGAAAGGTATATGTGATATGTCACTGTTCATTTATGATTGAATCCTTTGTAAGTCTACAAAAATTGACTATCGCGGTTTTAAATTTTATCAAAAACATGCATGAAAACCATTTTCAGTGTGGCTTTTTTGCGTGTCTCACAACATTACGGGGCATCGGCATACCAAAAGTTTTCCAACGGAAATTCCTTAAGCACGATTTTAGTTTTGAATCTGAAACTACTTTGAAACGCAAATACCTAAAATTGTTCACGCAGTTATCGCACTAGCCAGCAGCTTGAGTATTAGTACGAAACTTCTTTTTTTCTAACCTAACTGGCAAATAATAGTGTTCATTGAAAGTGGAAAGTTTTCACTTATTTGGTGGCACTTTGGTATAATCACAATCTAGCGTTGGAAATTTCATAGCATTGTTCTTTGCTTTATTTGTGGCTAGTGTTTGTGATATATAATGCGTAAGTGACTGTATTAAGCGTGGTAGGTAGTGCGCTATACTCATAATCTCCAGGTCGCAGATCGAATCCGAGACGTAGTCGAATTTTTGCTAATTCGAGACTTTTTTCTACTTTTTTATTGCACTTTATGGAGCTGCTTTTTGTCGTGTTCGCGCTAGTGTTTGCGAAGCGAAGGTTCGCCTCCGTGTTGAAATAACTAAAGCATTGTTGAGTTCAGAATTAGTTTTTTGCGAGTAATAACATGCTTTATTGCTTCAATAACCATGACCCGTTTTAGTGGTCAGCGTTTTCTAAGATTCTAGTATTGCCACTGAAGTTTCACTATGTGCATTTCCATAATGATTTCCTTTGTTTCAGCTCAATAAATGCTGCCAATGATGAAGAAAATTATAACTAGTAAATGACACAGGAAGCGCTGAAAAAGCAAACGAATAGCCGTTTAACAACTCAATTGTAGCACAGCTTCAGGTTACGTATTGACTGTGCATTGTTGGCGCCAATTTTTTTCAGATGAAAAACTTGATGGAGCGGAAATCAACGGAGGCAAAAGGAAAGCAAACTTCAAAACGGGCTTCTATTGTTTTTGTCCAATGTTTGTGATATTTTGTGGTTCAGGGAGGAGTGACGTCGCCTGCTCCAAGTGAAAAACATTTCAATGAAACAAAACATTTCACATTTTGCATTCACCAAAATCAAATAAATAAATATTTTCATCTTTAACCTCTGCGGCTGATGTTAAGTTTCTAGTCGAAGGAAGCTTTAAACAGCGATGTTCTTTGAGTGATTATCAATTTGATTTTTTTTATTTCGTACTAGTTTTGAACTATTTCCATATTACAAGTATTGATTTTAGTTAATACATACTGTTTATAATTGATAGAAAATGTTTATTAAATAGACTAAAACTGGAGATTTTTTCAGTGGGCTATGAGGTTCTTCTGGTACTTTTGAAGGTACAGAAATAAAAGGACGAGGGTCGGAATTGACAGGGTGACATAGTCAGCAGCATGAAGAGGGCAGAAGGTTCTTTTGAAACTCTGTCGAGGCACGAGGTATAGTTTTGTTTTTGTTACAATCATGTTCAACTTTTTACCACCTTTATCTAGTTTAATCATTTGGCTAGTTTATGTGTTTTTTTTTCGGAAACGTGTATTTTTTGGCAAGTTGAAGAGTTTTGTATATTTCTTTGAAACTCAGTTGTTACGCAAACGAAGCACATGTGAACTCAAATAAATGGCAGTCCATCTGTAAATATAAATTCTAATCGGCGTAACTTGGATGTCAAATCGGAATTTCCAATTTAGATTGACAAAAAACGGTTTAATTATTTTTTTCAGTGTTAGTCTTTAAAAAATTTTGAAATTCAGAAGAGCCCACAATTCTCTAAGTTAATTGCAAGTTCTTAGCCTAATTGCTTTCTAGACAAATTCTAACTCAACTTAACCACGGCCTTGAATTCAGGGACAATTTGCAGAAAGTTATGAAACAATTGTGCGAACCGGGTTGGCAAAGTTGATAGTTATAATACCATAAGCTACGCAGCCGTCGCTTGTTACACAGGGAAGCGTTTGTATTATATTACGAGCTCATCTAACTCCATTAAATTAGTGCCCATCAAAAGTGCTCATTTTTAGAACCCGTGTTCAGCTTATGAGATTATTTATTCGCATGTGTTTTATCCCCGTCATTAGTTGCTGGTGTGTGGAAGACAGAAATGAGATATGGCGCATTTGGCAATACATAGTAACATTTAATCTGTATATAGGAGTTTTGAATCTCCTTGATGGCATAATTTTTTTATTTTGCATTTTTTGTGACTCTTGAGCTTGTTTTGCCATTTTTTTGCTCGTGATTGCGAATTAAAAATTCGAAATGTGTAATGATTGGCAATTAAAAAATTTTTTTCCAATTACAATTTTTTGGACCACATTTAATCTTAGTACCAATCGTTTCACAAGTGGAGCTTGAGTCAAAATTTTCCGGAAACTTTTTTTCAATTTGAGTTTCACTTTTCATTACCCTCTTTTGTGCTAGGCTAGATATTAGCATAAATTTTTAGAAAAAGTTTTAATTGCCGACTGATTCACCCGCATTGTATTACTCAAGTCGTTTCATATTACACAGTTTTTTCATAAATCTGTTTGTCTTTTTTGCGTAGTCGTTTTTGCGCTGACGAGCTTGCAAGCGTAGTGCTATACAGTTCGACCTTCTTTTCCAATGCTAGTAGAACATGAAGTGCGAAGTTTGGTGCAAAATTTATCGAAATAGTTATGAAGACATTTTAACTCCTTTGATGATACCGACGCTCAGAGCTCAAATACAACAGTTAATTCAACCGGAGATCTTTTTTTGTAAACTTTTTGAGGTTTGAAAGTTAATAATTTTGCGCTTTAAGGCAATTCTCCATGATTCGCAATGCGTAAGCACTTTAATGCAATTCTCCATGATTAACTAAATTTTGCGCTTTAATGCAGTTCTCCATGAAGCACTTCAAAGCAATTTTCATGATGAACTAAATTTTGCGCTTTAATGCAGTTCTCCATGATTCGCAATGCGTAAGCCCGAGTTAGTCGGCTAATTGTTTCTTATAATTCCCTGCTAAAGTTTATTTTTTTTTCAGAATTTCTCCGTTTTCTAAACGGTTTTCTGTAAGCACCATTGTTCAGTTTTTAGAGCTCTTCTTTTTTCTTGGGCTGAAATTTAGCAACAATTTTTGAAAGCGAAAGCCTTGTTTTTACTCAAACGAGCTATTGAGCTTAGTGTAAAATATGTCTCTACTTTTTAGTTTGTCTCTTCAAATTCGCAAATAAAAGGTTTCAATTGGAGGCACTTTTGCTATAATCAAGATCTGTACATTGGAAGTTTTATAAGATTTGTTCTATGTTATATTGAGGGCTATTATTTGCCGTTCTAGGCTCGAATCCGATACTTAGCAAGACTTTAATCCGAGGCTTATTTCCAACTTTTTTTATGTCTCTATGGATCTGCTTTTTGCCGTTTTTTTTGCTTGTTTTTGCAATGTGAAGGTTCGACTCTGTGTCAGTTTTTAAGAGTAAGGAACGCAGTGAAGACTCTTATATAGGTCTTGGTGATTTTTTTGTTTTTTTTTTCAGGAAAAAAATCTTACGATGCTCTAATTACTACAGATATGCATTGATACATGTTAATGAATGCACTTGTATATATGCACTTTTCAAGAGTAATGAACTTAGGTCTTGGTGGTGATTTTTTTGTTTTTTTTTTCAGGAAAAAAATCTTACGATGCTCTAATTACTACAGATACGCATTCATACATGTTAATGAATGCACTTGTATATATGCACTTTTCAAGAGTAATGAACTTAGGTCTTGGTGATTTTTTTGTTTTTTAGAATTTGTTCGCGCTCAATTTTGATTTTTCGCGGTTTGACTTGTGATTTTTTTTTCAAGTGCAGTGCATTTTTATTGTTAAAAGGAAGGCAAACTCCACTATTGAAAAGCAAAAGTGTTCAGTTCACAAAAAAACGTGATCGACTTCTAATTTCAAAACTGGAATCTAATTATTAGATTTCCCAGCAAAAAAGTAATTCAAAGAGCTTAAAGGCCATCTATTTTTTCTTCGAAATTCAAAAAAGAAGGTTTTTGAAAAAAAACAAGTCAGTTTTTTTTTCAGTTTCTTTGCGTTCATTACTCTTTTCCAACTGTCAATTGGCTATGTTTGGAAAATGTAGACCAAAAAAATCGTGTTCTTTTGGCGCGTGCTTCTCCCTCAAATTTAGTATATATTGGCGCCTCTAAAAAAATTTAGGGTCTGTCAGCCGCCAAAAAAAAAGATCTTAAAATAGTACAAAGAGGGTCGAATCCTTGATAGGAAGCGTCCCCCCGCCCCCTAAATCCGCTAGTGGTCTAAACTTTATTTTTCGTACGTGTAATTTATTCTACGTAAATCAGCGGAAAAACGCTATTTTTTACGGTATATCAAAGCTTCAGTGGCGCTGTTGCAAAGAGATCGATTTATGAACAGCAAACAGGAGTCTTGGCCATTTTGCCAAATCGTCGTAATGTTTGAGTTGTTTGCTCTTTTTTGTATACGCGAAGCACGCTTCACCTGTATAGTAGAACATAATAATTGATCTCCATACCGCAAGGACTCAAAAAGGAGTGATAGATTTTTGCGACCAAAAAACGGCGTAGAGTTTAAAACGAGTTAAAAATTATAAGTGCTTAAACGAATACTCCGCTTCTTGAAATCGTAGCAAAAATTTATTCTTTGTTTTCATTTTTTCTAGGTGCCTAAAGAGTTCCGAGAAGAGCATGTACTGATGGGATTCAGACCGGTGAACAGACCTCTGACCTACTATTTATGCACTATGTTCACGATGCACAACGAGGTCGTGAATGTGTGGACACATATCATTCCGTTTGGCCTCATGCTCAGAGTTTTCTTGATGATTGTCAAAGAAGATCAAGAGTTAACCAAGTAAGTACATTCTTCTAGTTTGCTCTTGTACATTCTGATCAGCCGCAGATTAAGGATGATGGTATTCTTGGTATTGCTTATGGTCGATCAGCTCGTACGTTCATCTGAATGACCCGTTAATGCTTGTACATTTTGTACTAATTTTGAGAATCGTGCGCAAAAAAATATACATTTTGCTATTTTGGTTTTAAAAATTTGGGCCTTTTTACGACGCAGCTAAGAAAATCTAAATCATTGCCCTGAAAAAGTCTGAGACATTTATTGATGACCTGAGTAATATGTTGATAAATATTAAGGCAGAACCTGTCAAAAGATGACCAAGACTCGACCTCAGTCGGAACCGGAACCACAACAGAAAGCCCAAACCGAACCTTCTACCTCTTCATGTGCACTGTGCTGGCATATCTCTTAGTTAGTGCACTTGCCCATTTGATGCACAGTGCATCCAAGAGCGTGCACTACCTGGCATTCTATTGCGACTTCGCAACCATAGCCTTCTATTCGTTCCTTAGCGCAGTCGCCTTTTACGTGTACTCGGCAACGCCTGCCTTCTTCGCTCGGTTCAACTGGTGCTACGTATATGTCGCCTGGACTCTTGCCCTATCTATCCCTTATGGTAAGCTGCACCTCAAGTCGTTTAATCTTAAAACCTGAAATCTTAAAACCTATTAAATAACGAGTTGGATTATTAAGTTGGTTTCTCTTTTAAGTCGTCTCTTTTTTTAGAATTATACGGCTCGTAAAGGGTTGTCTAGAATGAGTTTCATCATGTTTCAATTAGCAAACCAATCAATAAGCAAACCAAGTACCAAAAAACCATAGCTTTTATTATTTTAAGTACTGTCTTGCAATTTAATACATGAAGTTTAATTTTTGCTTTTTTCGGTTCGCCGCAAATGATTTTTCTGCAAATATTTTTTCCAAATTATTCTATGAAGTTGTGTTTTCAGCGTTTATTCGCACGCCTCTTTGATGACTCTATAATCTATAATCATTCACTCAGCTTTTCACTCAAAATGAATTCTTCCACTAGAAGTTCAATCAACTGTTGTCGCTCCTCGGCTGAATAAGTCTTGTTTGTGACGAGGTCTTCTACGGCATCAAAGGCCCTCTGTAAATGAGCAGCAGCGAGCACGTCTGGAGTCTTGACCATTTCAATCATTTCTTCAAAGAACCCAGCAGTTAAAGAAGTCCACGCGAAACTCACGATCAGTGCTGTAACATCGAGTTGCTATACAGTATATCCGATGGAAATTCATTCTTCTTTTTTTTACCGTAGATGAAAGTAGTTCAAACTCTTAAATAGGTCGCGATGATTTTTTCTGTTTTTTCAGGAAAAGTTTTAAAATTAGTTCAGGCTGAAATTTACTGTTTCACGGTTTGACTTTTGATTTTTCAGTACATTTCCTTTGTTAAAAGGAAGCAAATTCCAACAGCGAAAGTTAAAAGATCGCAAAAAACGTGATTGACTTCTTGTTTCGAAAATGGAATTTAATTTTCAGATTTCCAAGCGAAATTAAAGAAATTACCTTTTGATCCAGTTTTCTCAAAATTTTCATCAAAAAAGTTTCAATCATAAATTGTTCTAGAAATTCAAAGAGATTAACGGGCATCTATTTTTTCTTTGAAATTCGAAAGTTGAGGTTTTTCAAAATTAAGTTAATTTTAGTTTAATTGCGTTCATTGACTCTTTTCCCACTGCCTGTTGGGCACATTTTGACACTAATTACATTTTGACAATAATTACAGCGGCATTGATGCACATTTTGACACCAATTACTTAGGTATTAAATTTCTCCATACAAAGTTATAATATATTCCAAATAATTATCAATAATTTATTCAAAAATAACTAAAACTGCGTTTGTTGCAAAAAGAACTTACCATGAAGCCAGGAATTTGACATTGCGAAGAAGTTTTTGTGTAAATGAATGATATGTTTATGGAGTTCGAGTTGATTTTTGACTTCTGATAATGTCAATAAATTTCTGTATTCTTGTTGTTGTGACTTCAAGTTCTAATTTTAGTTTAACTGGGAAGCATCGGGATTATTACCATTGATATTTTTTGAAATTCCAAAAAGCTTCAATGGCACCCTTCTTATACTCTAAAGTGTACATCTTTTTACACTATTTAATTTGTACACTGTTTGATGGGCTCTAGTTTCGTTGAAACGAGATACTGACCATAATTCGAAATGTGCTCACTGTTTTAAACAGTACCAAACTTTAGTATACAATTGACGTTACTGAGGCGGTTTAAATATTGATTAAGCAAGAATTTTCTTTTCGAATTGTTTTTTAGCCTGCTGCTTTGCGAAGTTCAAGTTCACTCGACCTTATCCTCCCGAAAAGAAACTGTATATTTTGGGAACAATAGGAACCCTCTACCTATGGAACATCTATCCCGTTGTAGACAGAATAGCTAATGGCGACCTACAGGTATTGCTATTTCGATTTTCTTCCAGAACCAATATTTTTTATAAAATCAAAACAATACATTACACATTTATTCAAGCGGAGCGTAATATGCTACTAAAAGGTCACCTTTTCCTTATTCGCAAGTTTTGGTGCTACTTTATTTTGGTGGTAAACTTTTTTCCGGTTTTATTGGCAGTTTAATTGCATGTCTTTTGACATTCGATTTAAAATAAGTTCGCGCATTTGATGCTTTTTTTAATTCATCAAATGAACAGAAGAAAGCTACTGGTTTTATATGACAGCAAAAATTGAAAACTACGTTTCAAACTAATTTCACCTTATTATTTTTCGCGAAATTTTTGAAACATATAATTCATAAACAAGTTGACTTCAAACTGTTCAATTTGCATTTCTGAGGAGTGATGTTCAATTCCCGCAGATGTCATTTTTTTAAAACTCATTACTATTTTTATTTGTTTTTTGCTTTTTAAGCTATTTTTTTACCCTTTCAAAACGTTTTTATTTCCGCTTGTGTTGGCGAAGTGCAGGTTTGCCCCTATGTTTCGGAAATACGATTGGTAGGGTTTGATGCGCGATATATTCTGCTTTTAAGCGAGAGTGAGAAACGATAAAGAAACCGATAAATTGTGTAAGTAATGAGGCTGCAATTCAATGTGGCGTGTTTGTCAACAGCTAATTTCGCTTGCGATTAGCAAGCGTTATTAAGTCGGATTATTGACTTTTTCGGGCTAACATTTTGTTTAACAGAATCCCGTATCTTGATTCATAATGAATTCTAATTTCTTAGCTTCTCCAGCACAATTAATCTGGAGGTGGCGAATATGCGTGGGGCGGCAAAGTTCCTGGGTTCGAATCTGATTTGGACCTGTTTTTTTTTCAAACGGGAGTTCTTCCGTGTCCAAAAAAAATTGTCGGCACTGATTGCCTACGTACGTTTAGTCGGCTTGGTCGCTATATCTTATAGCTTTTGTTCGCTGGAAGCAAATTTCATTGTAATTGCTTTCAGTGTTTTGATTTACTCTTACCATTTTAAATTTAACTAATTTTGACCTATATTTTCCGTTTCTGTTTTCGCTTAAAAACTGTATTCGGCTCAAATTGCTTCAGCTTATACGTTATCGGCTAAGTGAGTTTAGTTTGGTTTGTTTCAAGAAAAACATAAATTTTATGCTTCCCTCCGGGTCTCACAAAATGCTAAATATCTTAGAATATAATTTATATTTCAAAGTTTTTCATGGCAACAATATACCCAAGTTTTAAACTGGAGTTTTACCCAAGTTTTGATGGGCTTTGAGTTTTATTATACACCTTTGATTGTGTTTCTGGTGGTGTTTTTCGCAAATATTTCCAGAAAACCTTAAAACTTGTGTTTTTTGGAAATTTTCTCAGTTTTTGGTCTTAGGAAAGGAAAAAAGTCACTGTCTGCTAGCTAGCTAGCAATGCTATATTATGTGTTATTGCATGTGGGGCGAAGCTCGGCTTTACCTCTGCGTTTAAATTAGTATTTAAGTTAAACGCCTCTGAGGTTGACACCGTAAGAGACGGAATTAATCCTTCGCTGTGCCAACAGTTTTTGCCGACACCCAAATATTTTTTTCGCACTATTTCATTACTGCTTGTATTGAATCATGACTAAAGTCATCATTATGATTTATCATTGCTCGAAAATGGGGTTTCTCAAATTAGGTTAGCTTTTTTCAATAAGTGTCAATCATAAAAAAAGACTTTGAAATTCAATTAGTTTCAAGACCAAATATTTTTTTTTTTGAAAAATTTTTTAAAAAATTGTTTTTGTTTTTTTTATCATTTGCACTTTTCCAACGGTCTGTTGACAAAGTTTTTTTTTGATATTTGTTGATTTGTGGAAAATTCGTCATGACATGTGGTGTTCGATCATTAATTACACTTTCGATGCAATGAGTTGCAATCTGATGTTTTGTTTACAGGATAATACTTATCACTATCTGCACCTAGCGGCTTTCCTGTCTGCTGTCTTTTTCTACTCGAGTGGCTGGCCACAGAAGTCCTTCCCCGGACTGTGCGACCACTTCTTCCACGGTCACCAGATATTCCACGTGCTAATTGCCATCACCACATATTACCAAGTGCTGGCCATAAGGCAAGGCTTGTTAACAGTCAATTGGATAGCATTTCAATTGTATTTAGACAGTTCGAGTTGGAGGTTTTTTGAAAAATGTTCAAATGGGCAAATAATTATCTTGTCGTAATTTTAATGACGAGTCAGATTTATTTAATCTCTGTCTAGAGCAATTTAATGATATCTCAAACCTAGTTTTAGAAATAAAATTAACTCCAATTGGTCAATTTTGAAATATAACGAGCTTAATTTAATATGCTTTTTCGATTGATCCAGTTTTGTTGCTTTTTTGTGGGGCCGACTTTTCTGTAGTTTGAAAGGTTTAGAGAAAAGCAATCACTGTTGCAGTTGAAGACTATTGAAGTCATAGATTATTTGGATCGAACTGACTTTAACAACCCTTGCGACAAGGTACGACATGAAAAACTACGTCAATGATGACAGTAACTCGGATAAAGCAAAGGGATCTGGAAATCAGAGAACTGACTGCTGGTCGGAAGTATCGTCGCTTTTCGCAATTCATGCTTTATTTTCTCTTCTGGTTATTCGACATTTCTACAAAAAGATTCAAAAAGTTCTGGCGGAGCAAAAGATGCAGTGAATTTGTATGTATGGGAACTTACCTGTCTGAGAAGCGCAAATCTCCTCCTTTTTATTTAATAACTGTTTGTTGTTGCCTATCAAATTGTTTTTTCTTAATGAAATCCGGAGTTTTTATTTCTAGATTCAGGTTTAATGTAATCGCATTAATACAACTAATCGCTGTCTAAATTCTATTCATTAAATTGTCGCGAATCATTTGAATTTTTTCTGTGCTATAATCAAAATACGAAATCTATTCCTGTCTAAATATCTTTGCCCTTTGAATGTTTTATTTCCCACGATACAATAATGGTGTCTATGGTCAGCAGTGATATCCAACAAAGTGGAAAATAAATATGAGCACAATTTGCTCTTTAAAGTTCCATCAAATATATTATTATGGGTTTTTTGACGTCGTCTTCTGTAAAAAAAAAAACAGCTTGTCATCGAAACTATTCACTCCTGAGGTCTAAATTATTGGTTTTAGCCTTGCAGTCGGAAATCAGTTTGTTCAATATAACGATTTTGTTGTTATAAACATAGTATTCTATTTCACTCACAAAGTGCTCCTGTCCTGTGTACATCCAAGCTATATAAATAACATAATATTATGTTAAATACTCAGTGCTACTTTTCACTCTTCAAGCAAAATTACAATTTAATTATAAAATGTGGCATATAATTTAACCCAGAAAAGCGCATTTCCAATTTGCTGCTAAAAACGACATCCGAAACAATTTTGCTAGCTATATCTGCTGTAATAGGAAATGGGAAATGTTCCAAGACAGAAAAGTTTCCGTATAATATTTTTCATGTCAACGAACGCCCACTTGTTTTTCTCGGTTTGTATTCTGGCCTTTTTTATAACTCGAATAAAAAAACAGGAAACAGAATCGGCTTAATTCAAGAGAATCGGTAAACGGCAAATTTTAGTGAATTATATTGCACGGAATTTGCAACAACATTAAAAGTATCAAGCCAAAAAATGGGCTTTTTCAGGCGCTGATTTGGTGATTCAATGTTTTTTCACAATGAATTCATATTCAGTTCACGCAGTTGAATCAACAAACTCAATTGCAAACCAATTTCGAACCGATTAAAATACTAGCATTGTATGTTCTATCAGGTTCGGCTCAAATGTGATTCTCAAATGAAACGACTTAAGTGAGAATCGAACCCTCGCCGAACTCCCCGGAACGCACTATGTATACGCTGGGCTATATAGCTGGTTTTGACTAGAGACTATACTGGTTTTATACTATACTTTCAAATTAATGCTATATAGCATTAACATACTCCGCCCCCGAAGGAGCGAGAACCGGAACGAGCTTAACGAGCGGCCGAGTGTAGTTTCCGGAGACGGTCCTAAGGTTTGCGGAACAGGCGGTGTTGTCTTTGACGTAGTTTAGCGACATAATGTGTGCTAGAGGGTAGTGACCCCTAGTGCTAGTCGATTCAACTAACCACAATGGTTTTCCGTCGAAAGAAGACAACTTCCACTCAGGTAATGGACCCTTCTGGCTTAGTGTCAAGACTTCAGCTAGATCTTCATTAAAGATTGGTTTACTGCTCGAAGACGTAATTGGCCCAGATTGCTTACACTCATTTGTATAAGGCGCCATCAACGGTTTCGAATAGGTAGCTGCCTCTACAACATTAGGATTACCGACGTAAAAATTTGTTCCTCCGCTAGAGAACGGTTGAACATTCGATGGTTACTTGACATAATATGGGCTAGGGGTAAAGGTGACTGTTGAAGGATTGAGAGAACCAACGTTAGTGGGTAAAAATGGTTGGTACACAAAATTAGCAAATTATTTGGGAAAAAGTTTGTTCAGCAATTGGCATTGAGCGGCTTATACGTACTACATTTAGATTCGGGAAGCTGACATTTGTATCTGACCTATGAGGGACGTTAACACTCAGTGAGTTTACATAAGTGTTTTCGAAATAGTTAGCATTTGGATACGAGTTATGAATCATCGTCAGATTCCGGATGAAAGGCGGTTCAATACTTGAAAATGACAAGAACTCGGAAGCAGGTTCCAGGTTGACACTTTGGACCGGCGCCTTGGGCTGGGAATTGACTGTTCAGTCAACTTCTTATCCTTCCTCCTCCGTTTGGTTCTCCTGAACGGCCATTGCCAATTTCGACCTGCTACGCTGAAGCTCATTGATTTCAGAAGCGTCTTCCAGATATTCAGCTTCTTCGATAGTTGCTTCTGCTAGCTTTGACGACTTTCCTTTACAATCAGATCAAGTTCAACTTGACCTTTCAACGACTGAAGCTGGATCTCTTGCTTTTTCAAACAAAGCTTAGCCGCTGCCTGGTGTTCAACTTCCTAGCGTCTAATTTTTGCGAGCTGCTTCTCTTTGACGCTCACTCGAAGTCATCGATGCAATCTTAGAACACTGTGAAAAGGGTTCCTTGGATCGAACTGATTCGCTTGGCGTCGGGGTTCGCGCAGTTGCTACCTGGTCCTCTTGAGTAATTTTTAGCTAGATCAAATACATCGTCATTTTTCTCTATACTTTTTTTGTAAACAATTGCTAGATTATTTTCTCCATAATTTTTCTCTATAATTTCTTGTAAACAACAATTTTTCTCTATAATTTTTTGTAAACAATTGCTAGATTATTCGATGTAGGTTTCAATTTTAGCTGGTCTATCATTCGCACTTATATACTGTAAATTTGGCATGGTCTTCAAAAAGATTTGTTTCCAGCTCTTTCCTGGCAAGCTAAATTTTGTTGAGTTTCTGTCCGAGGTCAAACTCCATTTTGAAGTATTTAATTTTATGCTTTTTTTAAGTTAGAGCAAAAAAAAATGTAGCGTCGATTGACGGAATCAAATTAAATTCGATTCAAGTAGCCGCCCTATACTGAACAAGAGGATCTTCGCAAGCCGCTCTTGTTGCCTACGGAATAGAAGGACAACAAACTACGAGACTGAAATTAAAGAAGAACTACTTGAATTGTAACTTTTGAGAAAAAAGAACTTAATGTCTAACAAAGGTTAAATATTCTTCGACTATTGTCATTTGCGAAATCTTATGCTTATCTGCTTTTATTTTTCTTGAACCTGGTCGACGATTTTTAATTTCGCTGATAAGCTCAGATAGATTGGGTAAATAACGACGAATGATTCCTAAATTTTAATTTCTAAAAATGCCGGAGGATGAATTATTTTAAGTTGACGAAGTAAATCTTCGTCATTAGCTTTTCTTTTTGAAATTAAATGTTTGGTCACATCAATAGTTAAAATTCCTGTTTCAACCAAACGTCCATAAGCATTGGGGGTCATTTGACGGTGTACGTAAATAATGGCTGAAATTTTGTTTGTTTTTGTTTTTATATTCTTTTAAAACTTAAGTTAGACTTTCTGGTATAAGTGGGTTATCGTTGTTTGATCTATGCTTGGTCAATGAATTGTTTTTAACATCGTGCCAAATTTTAATGTTGTTCTGTACCAGACATTTTGGGGAATTGCTCAGTAGATATTGAACAGTTTTTTGTTTGTTTGCATTCAAATTAAAACTGAAACCCGGAACTGCTTTAAAAGTGTCGTCGAGGCGTTTTTGTAAAGTTAATGATAATGTTTTTATGGAGTGATGGAAAGGAATCGCAACGCTGATGAACACCATTGACAGTGATAAATGATCCGGTTGTTTTAATGGCAATCAACTTAAGGAGTCACTTGTTGTAAAGTCGTCACATGTAGGTAGAACAAAATTATGACGTTAATAACCTTAAGAACCTTTCGCTGAGGGTTTCTAAGGTTCTACTAAGGCTTCGGTTCGGTACTATCTAAGTGAACGCGTACGTTTTATCGGGTAAAGTTAACGACATTACATCTAAACGGTAGTAGTAATTTTCGCGGTGGTATGCGGCAGAAAACGGGGCGAGCCGAGCAAATTTTTTAAAGATTATCCAACCACTGGCAGATATTTACTCAAAAAATTTTTTCCATACGATTGATAGTTTTAACGGTTGAACGGATGAAATGAAAACTGTGCTTTCCGGCTTTGCACTCAATTCGGGCAGAAATTTTTTTTTTTTGACTGAAAATTTTGAAAAAGTTGGTATAATTTTTGGGTTCGAGACTCTCCTGAGGTACTAGGGTGCTGGGTATGTACGAGCATTCGATTATCTAATAGGGTCTTTATCGGTTTGCAATCAACAACATCGTATATAATTTTATAGCACTGGTCATCAAAAAAAGAAACACTTTTTTGGGGTAAGAAATAGCAAAATTTTGTGGCTAAAAGTTAATTGAAAACACAGGTTTGGTCTTACAAGTTTTTTTTGCAGAAATTTCTCCGGCCGGGCTGTAACCCAGAAACCACACACAATCCACAAAAAAACACTTTCGGCCTTCTGCGATTTCGGCCTTCTGGGTTGTAGGCCTTCTGGCTTGTCGGCATTGTTTTTACTAGGGGTCACACGAAATGGTGAAGGGGTCGATCCTTGATTCCATATGAGGTCGCACAAAATTGTGTTCGGGTCAGTCCGTCTTTTAAAAAATGAGCTCATACAAAATTGTGCACGGGACGGCCCTTGATTTCGGATTTCAAGGTTTCATGTTTACTTGAATAAGAAATCTATTCGTCTGAATTTCTAAGACTGCTTTGGACAGTTTCGGCACCTCTAAGTTATTCGCATAGAATATGACTCTGGTTGAGATTCCCCAGTCGAAATTTTTAGTTTTTGTTTCCCGATTGGCGCGGCACCAAAATTTTCTGGATTTTTTATAACTCGAATAAAAACAGGAAACAGAATCGGCTTAATTCAAGAGAATCGGTAAACGGCAAATTTTAGTGAATTATATTGCACGGAATTTGCAACAACATTAAAAGTATCAACCAAAAAAATGGGCTTGTTCATGCGCTGATCTGGTGATTTTATGTTTTTTCACAATGAATTCATATTCAGAAACTCAATTGCAAACCAATTTTGAACCGATTAAAATATTAGCGTTTTTCGTTTTATCAGGTTCGGTTCAAATGTGATTCTCAAATGAAACGACTTAAGTGAGAATCGAACGCTCGCCGAGCTCCCCGGAACGCACTATGTATACGATGGGCTATATAGCTGGTTTTGACAAGAGACTATATTGATTTTATACTATACACTCAAATAAATGCTATGTAGCATTAACAGTTAGACGTTGATTTTTTAGAAGTTCAATTCAATTTTGTTTGCTGAAAGTGAGGGAAATTTAGCTTTCGAATAGCGAAGAAGCAAATGTTTCAAAAAATTGTGATTGACTATTCCTTTGAACACTTGGATTTTTCAAATTTTAATCGGAATAAAAAACAACGATAGCCGATTGCTGTGCAAGTTGCCTAGAATGTTCCGACCATATTCATAAAAAATAGAAAAATTTTTCTTCAAATTAGTGTCGTTTTTAGTAGGTGGTGTGATTCGAGAACTATACGATTGCGTAGAAATTTAGTTATTTTTGCATGATCGACAAAATTTGTTTTCAGAAAATGAATACCAAACAAAAAAAATGAAAAAAAAATTAAAAATTTTGTCGTTTTTTGTACAATAGTTTTATTTTTGAAAATCTTTATCATCAGAAAGAAATCTAGTTGGATGGTTAATTTAAGTTTTGAGAGCCTAAAGTTATCTTGAAGTTATCAGCCGCGTTTTTTGCTCGAAATTGAAATAAAAAAAAGAAATTTTGAACAAGTTTTTCTCGAAACTTGGCAGAATTTTTTGGGATTTTTTTTGATGTCGTTTGAATCACGACTGAAATTGCTTTAATAT